GAGACAGCTGCTGCCTGTACCCGTCGGACTGTCAATGCTGCCGGGCTCGGCCACGCTACAGCAAATGAAGCTGACAGGAGGGAGCGCTGAGCGCTCAGCGTTTCCCTCCTGTCAGCCTCTCCTCAGGCTGCGCCCGGGCAGTGCGGTCCGCTCTCATGGACGCACCTCCCGGGCAAAGCTGCAGCTGCCTGAGGCTCTATACAGAGCGCTCGGGCGGCTGCAGCATGGGGGGGGCGGCGGGGTTGGTCATGGCACCCCCCACCCTGCTGGCACCCGGGGCGGACCGCCCCCCCCGCCCCCCTTAGTACGCCACTGCCGCGACCTGTCCTTCTCAGACCCAGGTGTATGTCGGCCCACTGGTTAATCAGGAGTACCTCTTAGGAATTTGGTTCTACATCACCATTTGTGATTTGGACGTAAGTTGGAGAATGGATATATGTCCACACCATGCCCGTACTTCATCTTTTACTTAGATATACATTAAAGGAAAACTATAGAGTCAGGAACACAAATATGTATTCCTGATCCTACAGTGTTAAAAACACTATTTAGCTGACCAGCCCCCCTTGCATCCACTAAATAGGATAAAAGCTTCACCTTTATTCCAGTGCCGCATGGGTCTGCCAGCTCTGGCCCTGCCCCAGTTCCACCTCCTTGGCTAGCATCAGCAGAATTGATCATCTAAGCCAATCCCCTGTTTTCTCATAGGGAAGCATTGATTTGGCTGAGATTGTCAATTCAGATAATGTCAGCCAATGAGAAGGGGTGGCGGTGGAGCCAAACACTACCCTGGCCAATCAACATCTTTTCATAGAAATGCATTGAATGAATGCATCTCTATGAGGAAAGTTCAGTGTCTCCACGCAGAGGGTGGAGACACTGAATTTCAGTCACACTGTGCAGCACTGCCCCAGGAAGAACCTCTAGTGGTCGTCTGAGGATTGGCCCTGGAGGTGATCTTAGGGAGCAATGTAAACACTGCCTGTGTTCAGTAAAATGCCTGCAGGGACTGACTATACTCACCAGAACAACTACATTAAGCTGTAGTTGTTCTGGTGACTATAATGTCCCTTTAAATGTCTATAACCTATGCCCTTTGTGCAGCTTGGGTTAATGAGGAAGTATTAGCATGGGCAGAAATGCACGGCTGTTATTGGCTGTACTCTTTGCCTTAGCCACACCTCCAGTGGGGGTGGGGTCATGGGTGGCCAGGAACCTTCACTCAGTGTTAAACTGCTCGATAATGGTAACACTAAATGGAGGGACAGCGCCAGGGGACTCCAGGCACCATAACCACTTCACTGACATGAAATGATTATAGTGACTGCAGTCCCTTTAACTAATAGGTATTGTTCAGTTGCTGTGGATTTCTTTTCCATTTACATCAGGCTGAACTAATAAAGATTTGAGGTAGTGACTGCATCTTGTGGAACAGTTAATGTTTAACACCGGGTGCTATGAAGAATTCAGTGATTCCTATTGGTTTCAGTGGGGACATTAACCTTTTCATAATCAGAATGTGACTGTCAGAGGAAGTCCTTTTGTAGTCAGGAAGCTACTGGTAATCTCGTTCAGGCAGGGCTCTCTTTACCTACTCTTCATCTTAACTCGTGTTAGAATGAAGTGCCTGCTTTATTTACTTATTGTACAGTGCTGCAATATATGTTGGTGCTACATATATAATTGTACTAGCAAGTGATGGTGGCTGCCATTTTAGCGATCAGTAAGTGACCTGCGGAAAGCATGGACACCCACAAATGTATGGCGAAAGTATTCCAGTCACTTCCAACTTGTTGCAGAGGTTGATAACAGCAAGGAAGCACTGGGAATTTTTGTGGATTTTCTACAAAAAAGAATTTGTTTTGTATATTTGCTGGTGAAAGCACAAACTGTGTTTTGCATTAAACGGGGGATGTAATTAAATATAGAGTAAAGTTTTTTTGTTTCAGCTACCTATTGATCGCCACCTTCCCAACCCCAGACAACTTGTTCAATCATATTGAAATATTCCGTCACTAGGACCAGCATGGACAGAATAGATGGAAGATCCACACGTGCAAAATGGAAAGCGTCACAATCGACCTTTACTGACATAGCCATCAACTCCTCTCTTGTAAGAAGGCCTCCAATGGATAAGATGTTCGGAATCACAGGCACGATGTGGGCTGGTGTCCATAGGCTGCAGGAGGCAGAGACTGGAACATTTATTAGACCTTATTGCTGCACTATTCATCATGATGCTCAGCATCGGATAACGACCCCCATTGTGATGGCTAGGGCTCAACAGGCCTGCTGCCCTGGCCTTCAGCCCAATCTGTGCCGCAAGGCACCATCTGATGGAAACAGATATCTGCATGGAGACCAACTCAGCGCATCCTCAACATCCCCCATTGTACTGGGACTTAAGGGCTGACGTTATAAAAGTCACCATTTCCTTTTCACACGACAAGCCATTTTCTCCTGAATGTTGTTTATTAAATGGTTACTACAAGAACCATGATTACTTCAGTGATTGGCATGTGTCATGGTGCCTGGAGTCAGTATGTGCAGTGTTTCACTATCAGAGATCTGGCAGAGTCACTGGGGTGACATCAGCCCACCGGGAACTAGAGTTTCGGACTGACTAAATGTCAATTCTGTGTATATTACTATGCACAGAACTGCAATCGTTGGCTGAGAGTGGTCAGCTGACACTCAGCCAATAAATGGCTGAAAGGATTGGCAGCAGCCTTGAATATGACTGGATGCCTGGCAAAACCAGGTAAAAGGGCGATCCGTTGGAGCCAGGATACTAATCTCATCATAACCACTACGGCAGACTGTAATGGTATGATGTCTGGAGAAACACTTTAACCTAGACATTGTATACTAGTGAAATGAAGACGTATGGCCAAACATGGGTTGTGATAAAATCACTTGTTTTCTTCTCTTTGAAAACTATTCCAGAGATCAGAGATGCAAATTAAATGGAGGAGGAATGCTTGTAACGGTTAAATCTCATTTTACGAGGGGATAGTTGAATGATGCGATTGGGTGTTTGCAATGGGAATGTCACATGTAACAAGGCCTTTCCTGGCATTTAACAAATGTCTGCGTTCAATTGATCTTTCTCAGTCATTTGTTATGAAGATCAAAAAGCAGATGATATAACGAGGACATAACATCCTATCTGCTGCGATGGCACCTGATCTACCCTGAACAGTGTTATGTCTGTTTCTGGATGACCCACAATTCACACTAAACGTCTGACAGACAGCATTGTCCACACCGCAGTTATGAGTGACACGACAAGTGCAATATCACCAAATGCAGATCAGTTTCCGGAGGATTAAATGTATCCATCTGACCTCTTAGTTTCCACATTCCGGGCAAAAAAAGAATAACCTCTATTCTTTGTGGCTCCCTATCAAGCCGGATTATTCTTGTCCAGGCTTTAACGAGTCGTTCAGAGAGTGCCATTATAAAAGCCAGCTTATGTTCATTTTTTCATTTTTTTCTGAAGAAAGGTTCTGGTTTTGGAGACGGGGAACAAGTAATAGTTCTTACGTTTTGAGAAACAGGCTCCCGTATTGTTTGTAGCAAATCCCAGACACAGAGAGCTTTACCCCAAGGCATAGCACGGACATTTCACTTTGTATCTTAGAGCAGCGTTTATTGTATAAACCTTCTATCTAGTACCGTCATTCGTAATGCTTTATGAAGAAAAGATTTATTCTTTACACTATTTCTCACATATTTACATCCTGAAACTGTCCATATTCTAGGTTTTATATTTAATTAATGACTACATAGTGCGTTATTAAGAGTTATTTTAGGATTTACTGGACAATGTTTATTTAGAAAAGACAAAAACACATCAAAACAAAATGACAAGTAGTTCTGTGAGCCACGGTTAATATGAACTATGTGAAAATTATATATTTTTTTTTAGGACCCATTGAAGATGAAATTCATTTTAAGCAGTTATGGTTGATTCTTTTATGCAGTCTCATCGATGGAGAGCACAGCACATTCTCCCTTTGTAAAACAAATATCATTCAGTGTCGTAATAAAGCATTATTGTAGGCCTGCCATAGTTCTTCCTGTTATAACTTACAAGTTATACCTATGCATCGGACCTCGTCCTGCGGATTCCTGTTGGGATAAAAGACCTACGACAAGTAGTGCATACTATGAATGGACTGTCCTGCATCCAAAATAATTGGAGGGGCCATTTTTGGAGACCAGGCTAGCGATTAACCCAGCCCGCCCAGAAAAAAGGGTTTCTCCAGGGTAGGATAATGAGAGTCTGAAGCTACAACTGGGAGTAAGACTATCTAATTGATATAACCGAAGAGGACACATTGTAATTACAAAACAAACCAAATATTTATTTATATTTCAACAAGAGGACTCGTTTTCTTCATCAAAAATTAATCTAAACTCACAGTATCAAAGCAGTACATGGAGTTGTGTATTCCATTAAATATGTATGTGTGATATATTGTATATCACACACAGGACACAGAGCATTTCAAGGCCTATTTCACAATAATCCAAATGCATCTTATTGCACATAATCTTATAGAGACAGTCACTGGTTCATGATTGGCTTTTAAACATGCGAATATATATGGCACTTTACATTATAAACCGTATGGAGAACAAAGTGGTTTCTGATTCATCCTGCTGGAGAAGCCTTGGCACAATCTGTGGTTCTTCCTTTATGTAAATGTTCAATGACCATGACAGCAATGACCATAATAATTTGTATGAGAATAGCGGCAGTTCAGGGTGCGCTTATGAGTGCGCTGGGGAGACCAGACACAAACATGACATAAGACATTAGGTGAGCGGAATTCTTGAAAAAGTGAATATCCCCTGTTTTGGCTTTTTCATTCTGTTATGAATCTCAAATGATATACATTTTCATCATATTTTTCAGTAGAACGGATATAGTTCAGATCCTTAATTTGGGTCAACTACTGTTTATTTGGACAAACGTGTGGATTATGTACGGATGTGACATATAGAGCACAGGTCAAATCGGTCATATTTCTCGAAGGAGGTAATCTATCAGTATAACAGAGGTTTCATTTTCTCCTATTAAATCATTTAGTAGACTTCCAAAAAAGGTTTGATAAAAAGGTCCAGGATAGACAGACACCAGTCGAACTTACATCTTTTTAGAGAACCACATCAGTTTTACTTTTAAAGTACAGCTAGTGCTCATTGTAAAGGTTCTATACTAGGTTTCTGGATGCCAGTGCTGGCCAAGTTTTGGCACGCTTAGCCCCCTGACTGACCCCTCTAAGCATGGAGGGAGTATAACAACCCCTATATATAGACTGGCAACACGGCTTCCCATCGCACATACAGCTTCTGATAAGAACAGCAGTGATATGTCCAAAAAAAACCCATCTCTCTTACACACCTAAGCAGGCTCCTCTAATAATTTGGAATGTCCAGGGGAATAGCAGAAACAATACAGTGAAGATATTGGCACGAAAGGTCATGCACGCCATCAGCATTCAAGATATGCATAAAATATACATATGACAGTGGTTCTCAACCTTTTCTGACACATGATTAAAATACTGTACATGCCATTGGCTCTGCGACCCATCCTTCAATTGAAAAAATGCTACAATAAATTAAAAGAAGCACCTTCATCAGTCTTTTCACAATGTCAGAGGGGCCTCTGTTATACTGAGGCAGAAGCTCTGCTACGGTAAACAATATATTGTGGGCAGTGGCTTGGAACCTGATGGGTGCGATGCACATGTTCCAACCAGTACAGGACAAGATTTGGCTTTTGATGCAGAAGTTAAAGCAGCTCTGTCACTTTATGGATCCCTTGTGTGGAAAACTTCCTCTATTACAACACCTTTCAACCTTTTTTGGGAGGGAGGGGGTGGGCATTTTTAATGGTTTTGTAGTTCCTTGGGACCTTATTTCTTGGCATCATCAAAATGTTTACGATGGCACCTGGAAATACTTCCTTTTCCTGAATTCACACACAAGGACTCACGGTACCTTCCTAAGGACCTGTGTTCACGCTCACGATCTGAAATGTCAACTTAGGGGATATGTGACGTGCCCCTGGAGGAAGGCGAGTATACACACAAACAGCCAATGACAAGGTTGAAAATAGCCGTGGAGCATGACTAAACCTCCATGCTTTGTCAACCCGCTGTTACTCCATCAGTAAAAGTAGTCGCTGCTAATTTATAACGAAAAAAAAAAAAGAGGGCATTTAAAGAAAAGGAAAAAATGGGCACACACACATACATACATCTATATAAAAGCAATAGAGCCGCTTCAGAGGCACTGTACTCAAAGGCCCCCATCCTAGATGCACGTCACAGTATACTAATTACAATGTAATAGTTCATGTAATTAAGATGCTACTTTCGTTTTCACAGGCTAATAATCAGATGGATGGAGGTGTTGTGCTTCTTCAGTAAATTAGATTTTGCCTAAACGTACATTCACTAGAGGCTGCTAGGACACGGTGCCATGTTTTATTTGCTACTAACAATCTTAGCAGTGACATATGGGGTGGATTTCATAAGCGGGTTAAGCTGGAAAGATATCACCGTGCCTTTAAGTTCCAAAGGAAACCTACCCACTTAAATAAATAACCGCTTGGTAAGACTCGCCCATGTGGTTTACTTTAAAGGGGCACTCCAGGTTCCAAAACAACATCTAAATTAAAGGACCACTATAGTGCCAGGAAAACATACTCGTTTCCTGGCACTATAGTGCCCTGAGGGTGCCCCCTCCTGCTGGGCTCTTGGGGGAGGAAGGGGTTAAACTTACCTCTTTCTCCAGTGCCGGGCGGGGAGCCCTCCTCCTCTTCGGCTGAATGCGCATGCGTGGCAGGGGCCGCGCGCGCATTCAGCCAGTCCATAGGAAAGCATTCTCAATGCTTTCCTATGGGTGCTGGCGTCTTCTCACTGTGAAAATCACAGTGAGAAGCGCGGAAGCCCTCTAGCGGCTGTCAATGAGACAGCCACTAGAGGCTGGATTAACCCATTTATAAACATAGCAGTTTCTCTGAAACTGCTATGTTTATAGAAAAAAGGGTTAACCCTAGCTGGACCTGGCACCCAGACCACCACATTAAGCTGAAGTGGTCTGGGTGCCTATAGTGGTCCTTTAAGTTTTTATAGTGCCAGGAGACCCCAGGGCTCACTTTTACCTCAAGAGGTCAAACCATTTTTGAACAGTTTAACATCAAAGTTGCCTCCAACGTCGATCTCAGCTCCACCATGGTGGCATCTGGCTTCTGAAATTTCATATTCAGGGAGCATAGAGTGCTGCTGATTGTCTGAGAGTGGTCACTTGACACTCTCAGCCAATCGGTGACTGCCCATTTACAAAACTGGCTTGGAAAGAGACATACTGAACGGGTAGTCACTGATTGGCTGAGAGCATTAGCTGACTGCTCTCAGACAATGAGTGGTGACCCTGCCCAGCGGCAGTCCGCACTTCCTGAAACTGGAATTTCAGAAGCTGGATGCCTCCTTGGGGTGGGGGAGGTGAAATCAGTGCTGTAGGCAACTTTGGAGTTAAACTGAGCCCCTTCAGGTAAGAGTGAGCCATATGGCACCATAACACCATAATAACTTCATTCATTATGGTGCCTAAACTGTCCCTTTAATAAAACAAGCATGGGGAGTTTATAAAAGACACGCAATGCACTGTGTTTGTCGTCTTCTCTTTTAACCTCTAAACAATCAAACCTTGCAGGTGTCTGTTTAGATTTCCCCCGTTTTCATATAAATCACCTTTGCTTGATCACAGTGGTCCTCTCCATATCGTAATACATTTAAAAGTATAAAAAATGAGTTTGTTTGCACCACAGAAAGAAACACTTTGGTAAGACTTCCATTTTTCCAGTTTACAGACATCTTCCATAAGAATTAGTGGTTTGCTGTTTTTTTTCTGAACAACTTAATTATATAAAAAAAAAATGGCTTTTACAAGCAGAGGCTTGAAACAAGATATGGAAAATCTATAACAAGTCTGTTAAAACAAATCCCCAGAAAAGGTCTTTAGTCTGAGAATGGACAAATATCGTTTGTTTTTTGCTTTAAAGTGACTTTGGATAAATGTAGGATCAGAAATGCATTCCTACACAAAATCAAGTCAGTTCCCACCGCGTTTACATGTTCATGTCTTTCATACAGGTATTTGAGGCCGTGACTCCATGTCTGAGTTGCCTTCCCTGTTCTTTATCCTTTAGAGAACGGGGAGCCTGGAGACGTGACATGGTGTGAATGTTTGTAATAGGCAAGTTCATTCATGAGAAGTGTGGGCCGTGTAAACAAAGCGGATCCCTTTAGAAAGTCTTTCAGAGTTTAAGGGGAAATCTGACATTTCCTGTTGGTTATAGTAGACATATAAGACTTTTCCCCTCTTCGATTTCTTCTTGCACTTTATCACTGGATGTGGCAATTTCGGCTTGCGCTGAAAAAACAGCACAAATGAAGGTCATCACCGTGCCTCCGATGGCGGTGTAGAATCCCCACCCCAAAGAGCACTCTCCAGGCTTGTAGGCAGATGCATAATGTCCACAGTACGCCACCACCTTCTGAGAACCCCAACCGGCAGGGTACAGAATCAGGCCCAGGATTAGGAAAAGACCTGTGAGGGAAACAAACAAAAATATTCCATAAAAATTCATATATATTAACAATGGAATAATCTATGTCTTAGCAAGAACTAAATATATATATACACACACACACACATTATATAAATATAATATTGAGGAAAACAATGTTAATTTGTTAAGCGCTGCAGAATAAGGTGGTAATATATAAATACCAATTATAACAATAATAATCTTCGAAAACCAAACATGGCACAGCTTGTTAACCACTTAATTGACATTCAATGGCGTTTCACACCCAGACTCCTATAAACGTTATGCCAGCATTTTACGTTTCGATCATAGCTTCAGAAGATCTGATTGTGGACGCTTACTGGGATGTCTCACGCTGGAATGGTTCATTAAAAATCAGATGTCTAGAATGACATGGTACATCACTGGTGCCTAATGGGTTAATTGGAAGATCACACATGTAACAGCATTACACATACAGCCTGGGTTACTAGATGAGTGAGAGGCGTTGTGGAGGTGGGGGCGGGGGGGTTAACGGTAAAAATCTTATTGGCCATTAGGCCGCAATCTTTGCACATTGAAAAACTAATTTACGTATATATAATCCTGATTTTTACACACATGCACACGATCTCATTGCTTTTCTCAGCATGAAGTCAATGCCCATTGGGTAATTTTCCAGCTAAATACCAGCAGTTCTGAAATGGCGAGGTTTCTCATAAAATACAGCATCGAATTTCACGTGCGCAGTATCAGTTAGCTTGGAAATACATTGTAATAGAATTAGGCTAAATAAACAAGTAACCAAAAGCTTGTGCTGAGCGAATTAGGAGCATAAATCATTTATTCAATCAACCACAAGAATTATATTGTGGAAATCAAATCAGATATAAAAGTCTTACAATGGACTAGGCTTTTAGAGGGTATTTGCAGTTATTATTATTTTTTTAATGGACACTATAATTACCAGAACTATTCCCCCCTCCACTCGTTTGCAATATAAAAAGGCAATTTACTTGCCTTTTAGCCACTGCCGTGACCGTCTCTATGCTTCTGCTCCACCTCCCTGGCTGAAATTATTAAAGGGACACTATAATTACCAGAACAACTACAGCTTAAAGGATCACTATAGTGTCAGGAAAACAAAGCGGTTTTCCTGACACTATAGTGCCCTGAGGGTGCCCCTACCCTCAGGGTCATCTACCCGTGGCACCCCTTCAGCCACTTAGCTTAATCCAGCGCGGGGCTCCCTCGACGCTGGTGACCTCTCCTCCCCATCCGACGTCAGTTCCCCCATCTGATGTCACTGGAGCAGAATGCGAAATTCGCCTCCAGAGTCGCAGATGCGCCTCTAATGGCTGTCCAGAAGACAGCCACTAGAGGCTGTATTAACCCAAAAGGTAAACATATCAGTTTCTCTGAAACTGTTATGTTTACACCTGAAGGGTTAAAACCTGGGGGACCTGGCACCCAGACCACTTCATTGAGCTAAAGTGGTCTGGGTGACTATAGTGTCCCTTTAATGTATAGTATATAGCTTAATGTATGGTATATAGCTTAATGTACAGTATATAGCTTAATGTACGGTATATAGCTTAATGTACAGTATATAGCTTAATGTACGGTATATAGCTTAATGTATGGTATATAGCTTAATGTATAGTATATAGCTTAATGTACAGTATATAGCTTAATGTACGGTATATAGCTTAATGTACAGTATATAGCTTAATGTATGGTATATAGCTTAATGTACAGTATATAGCTTAATGTATGGTATATAGCTTAATGTACAGTATATAGCTTAATGTACGGTATATAGCTTAATGTACGGTATATAGCTTAATGTACAGTATATAGCTTAATGTATAGTATATAGCTTAATGTACGGTATATAGCTTAATGTACAGTATATAGCTTAATGTACGGTATATAGCTTAATGTACGGTATATAGCTTAATGTACAGTATATAGCTTAATGTACGGTATATAGCTTAATGTACAGTATATAGCTTAATGTACGGTATATAGCTTAATGTACAGTATATAGCTTAATGTACGGTATATAGCTTAATGTACGGTATATAGCTTAATGTACAGTATATAGCTTAATGTATACTATCCAGCTTAATGTACAGTATATAGCTTAATGTACAGTATATAGCTTAATGTACGGTATATAGCTTAATGTATAGTATATAGCTTAATGTACAGTATATAGCTTAATGTATACTATCCAGCTTAATGTACAGTATATAGCTTAATGTACGGTATATAGCTTAATGTACGGTATATAGCTTAATGTACAGTATATAGCTTAATGTACGGTATATAGCTTAATGTACGGTATATAGCTTAATGTACAGTATATAGCTTAATGTACGGTATATAGCTTAATGTACAGTATATAGCTTAATGTATAGTATATAGCTTAATGTACGGTATATAGCTTAATGTACAGTATATAGCTTAATGTACGGTATATAGCTTAATGTACAGTATATAGCTTAATGTACGGTATATAGCTTAATGTACAGTATATAGCTTAATGTATAGTATATAGCTTAATGTACGGTATATAGCTTAATGTACAGTATATAGCTTAATGTACGGTATATAGCTTAATGTACAGTATATAGCTTAATGTATACTATCCAGCTTAATGTACAGTATATAGCTTAATGTACAGTATATAGCTTAATGTACGGTATATAGCTTAATGTATAGTATATAGCTTAATGTACAGTATATAGCTTAATGTACGGTATATAGCTTAATGTACGGTATATAGCTTAATGTACAGTATATAGCTTAATGTATACTATCCAGCTTAATGTACAGTATATAGCTTAATGTACGGTATATAGCTTAATGTACAGTATATAGCTTAATGTACGGTATATAGCTTAATGTACAGTATATAGCTTAATGTACGGTATATAGCTTAATGTACAGTATATAGCTTAATGTACAGTATATAGCTTAATGTACGGTATATAGCTTAATGTACAGTATATAGCTTAATGTACGGTATATAGCTTAATGTATACTATCCAGCTTAATGTATAGTATATAGCTTAATGTACGGTATATAGCTTAATGTACAGTATATAGCTTAATGTACGGTATATAGCTTAATGTACAGTATATAGCTTAATGTACGGTATATAGCTTAATGTACAGTATATAGCTTAATGTACGGTATATAGCTTAATGTATACTATCCAGCTTAATGTACGGTATATAGCTTAATGTACAGTATATAGCTTAATGTACAGTATATAGCTTAATGTACGGTATATAGCTTAATGTACAGTATATAGCTTAATGTACGGTATATAGCTTAATGTACAGTATATAGCTTAATGTACGGTAATAGCTTAATGTGGACCCAGGACATACTTGAAAACGAGAGAAATCTCTATGTATCTTTCCTGGTAAAATATTTTATAAATAAATTATAAACAAATAAATAATGTATAGTATCCAGCTTAATGTAGTTCTGATGAGTACAGTCAGTCCTTTCAGGCTTTTTGCAGTAAATACTTCAGAGAAAATGCAGTGTTTCTATTACAGCCTATGGATACCTTCACTGGCCACTCCTCAGATGGCTGCTAGAGGTGCTTCCTGGGGCAGTGCTGCACAGTGTGATGGACATTCAGTGTCTCCACCCTCTACATGGAGATACTGAACTCTCCCTTATAGACATGCATCGATTCAATGAATCTCCATGAGTAGATACTAATTTACCATGACATGTTTGGCTCCACCCCTGTCCCCCGCCTCCTTGGCTGAAATCATCAGAATTGACAATCTCAGCCAATCCAATGCTTTTCTTAGAATAGGCATTTGTTAACCCTCTCCAAAAAAATAAATAAAAAACCTGCAGAAAAAAAAAATGGAAAATGCACAGTAAGGCATGAGGAATATTTTGGAGCAAATATGAGAATAAATAAAAGTGAATAAGGCCATAAAGGGACACTATAGTCACCTGAACAACTTCAGCTTAATGAGGTTGTTCAGGTGAGAACTGCAGCCTCTCTCATGTAAATACAGTGTTTACATTAAAAGCTAGGAACACCTCCAGTTGCAGTCACTCAGAGTGAACCAGAGGGACTTCATAATATGCCTCCATCCACTCAGATCTGCTGTGCACGAGCATCCTGTGATTCAGTATCTCCTCCCACTGCATGCAGACACTGAACTTTCCTCATTGATTCAATTCATCTCTATGAGGAGATGCTGATTGGCCAGGGCTGTGTTTGAATCATGCTGGCTCTGCCCCTGATCTGCCTCCTTGTCAGTCTCAGCCAATCCTATGGGGAAGCACTGTGATTGGATCAGGCTATCACATGTCAGCAGACTGCTTGTTTTTCCTGAGTCTTACAGCATGCAGATTTACAGCTTCTGGCTTGAATACAGTAAGATTTTTACTATATTTATGGAGGCATGAGGGGCCCAGGGGGGCTAGATGGTCGTGTTAACACTATAGGGTCAGGAATACATGTAGTTGCACTGGTGACTATAGTGTCCCTTTAAATAAAATAAAATGTAAACATGTTACACTTTGTACAAAAGCTCTGTAGTTCTCCTTTTACTACATTTGTCCTAGATTGTAAACTTGTAAGCAGGGCTGTCAGTTGTTTGCGCTATGTATGTATCCAACGCTACAATTTTAACATGCTACAGCAAGCATGTCAAACTTGCGGCCCCCCAATGAATCCCCTTCCCTACTGCTCGCAGTGCTAGAGCAGCGTCTGGCCTGCTTGAGAAGAACAGAGCTAGAACTGGAGGACGATGGATGGCTCATCTTAAGGTAGGGGAAGAGGGGCTTGGAAGACCTTCCTGTGTAGTTTGTTTAATTGGGGGGGGGGGGGGAGTCAGTGTATTAATTTTAGAGAGGGGATGGAGTGGCAGTGTATTCATTTGAGGGAGGAGGGCATGGTATTAAAGGACCACTATAGTGCCAGGAAAACTATAGTGCCCTGAGGGTGCCACCAAGGTCTTCCTCCCCGGACTCTGGAGAGAGGAAGGGGTTAAAATCTTACCTTTCTCCAGCCGGGCTGGGAGCTTTCCTCCTCCTCTCCTCCTCTTCCTAGCGACAGCTATTGGTTGAATAAGCATGAGCAACATGATTAGACAGACAGTTCATAGGAAAGCATTTACACAAAGCTTTCCTATGGATCGCTATGTTCTCACTGTGATTTTCACAGTGAGAACCTAGTTTCCAGCCGCTGTCAATGAGACAGCCACTAGAGGCTTTAGGAGGCTGGATTAACCTCAGTATAAACATAGCAGTTTCTCTGTACAATATACTGAGTATGAGAGGGAGCCTGTTATACACTCAGAGATCCACAACAATAATGCTCCCAGTAATGTGTCTGAGTGTATAACAGAGCTCCACAGCAATAATGCTCCCAGTAATGTGTCTGAGTGTATAACAGAGCTCCACAGCAATAATACTCCCAGTAATGTGTCTGAGTGTATAACAGAGCTCCACAGCAATAATAGTCCCAGTAATGTGTCTGAGTGTATAACAGAGCTCCACAGCAATAATACTCCCAGTAATGTGTCTGAGTGTATAACAGAGCTCCACAGCAATAATACTCCCAGCAATGTGTCTGAGTGTATAACAGAGCTCCACAGCAATAATACTCCCAGTAATGTGTCTGAGGGTATAACAGAGCTCCACAACAATAATACTCCCAGTAATGTTTCTGAGTGTATAACAGAGCTCCACAGCAATAATACACCCAGTAATGTGTCTGAGTGTATAACAGAGCTCCACAGTAATAATACTCCCAGTAATGTGTCTGTGTGTATAACAGAGCTCCACAGCAATAATACTCCCAGTAATGTGTCTGCAGGGCCGGCCTTAGGGGTGTGCGAGCTGTGCAGCTGCACAGGGCGCCATGGAGCAGGGGGGCGCCGTGCGGCCGACACAGCTCACACATGGCCGGATGACAGGGGAGCAAAAAAAAAAAAAAAAAAAAAAATCGCTGTGGGGGCGGGGCCTACCGAGCGGCGGGGTGGGGCTTATCGCGAGGCAGAGGCGGGCTTATACCTACCAGAAGTCCCTGGTAATTGCTACACAGGAAGAGGGAAGCAGGAAGGAGTCCCTGCTTCCCCAACATCTAACTGCTTCCACTCCCCCTTCCAGCCATAATGAAAAGAGGTAAGTCTGTGTGTGTGTGTGTGTGTGTGTGTGACTGCCTGCCTGTGTGTGACTGTCTGTCTTTGTGTCTGCCTGCTTGTGTGTGTTTGTGACTGACTGCCTGCCTTGTGTGTGTGTGTGACTGACTGCCTGTGTGTGTGACTGTCTGTGTGTGTGTGTGACTGCCTGCTTGCCTGTGTGTGTGTGTGTGTGTGTGACTGTCTGTGTGTGTGACTGTTTGCCTGTATGTGACTCTTTGCCTGTGTGTATGTGTGTGACTGCCTGTGTGTGTGTGTGTGTGTGTGTGTGTTAGTGTGTGTGAGACTGTCTGTCTGTGTGTGTGTGTGACTGACTGCCCGCTTGTGTGTGACTGTTTGCCTGTGTGTGTGTGTGTGTGTGTGTGTGTGTGTGACTGTCTGCCTTTGTGTGTGTGACTGTCTGTCTGACTGCCTGCCTGTGTGTGTGTGTGTGACTGTCTGCCTGTGTGTGACGGTTTGCCTTTGTGTGTGTGTGTGTGTGTGTGACTGTCTGTGTGTGACTGTCTGCCTGTGTGTGACTCCAATTGTGTGTGTCGCTGTAGCTGTGCCATTGTGTGTGCCTGTATGTGTGCCTATCAGCGTGCCTATAACCGAGTGTGTATGACTGTCTGCTTGTAAAGGAGTATGTGTGACTGTTTGTTTGTGACTGTGTGTGTGACTGTCTGCCTGTAACTGAACGTGTCTGTCTGCTTGTAACTGTTTGTTTGACTGTCTGCCTTTGCCTGTGTGTGTGACTGTATATATAAGGCAACTTGTGGTGGGGGGGGCACCATGAAGACTTTTCGATCAGGGCGCCTAATGGCCTAAGGCCAGCCCTGTGTGTCTGAGTGTATAACAGAGCTCCACGGCAATAATATTCCCAGTAATGTGTCTGTTATACACTCAGACACATTACTGGGAGTATTATTACTGTGGAGCTCTGTTATACACTCAGACACATTACTGGGAGTATTATTGCTATGGAGCTCTGTTACACACTCAGACACATTACTGGGAGTATTACTGCTGTGGAGCTCTGTTATACACTCAGTCACATTACTGGGACTATTATTGCTGTGGAGCTCTGTTATACACAAGACACATTACTGGGAGTATTATTGCTGTGGAGCTCTGTTATATACTCAGACACATTACTGGGACTATTATTGCTGTGGAGCTCTGTTATACACAAGACACATTACTGGGAGTATTATTGCTGTGGAGCTCTGTTATACACTCAGACACATTACTGGGAGTATTATTTTTGTGAAGCTCTGTTATACACTCAGACACACCAACAGTATAGAGCTCCTAGAAAAGAGGGACAGAGGGATTTGGGCCAAAAATAGGGACTGTCCGTACTAAAACAGGGACACTTGGGAGTTATGAGAGACAGATCTGCTCTGTTACTTCTCACTGCCATCCCTGATGGAGAAATAATCTTGATTTACACATGAAGTTAAAAAGTCAGTAATGTAACGCTTTTCCTGACAAAGTGATCTGTAGTTAAACTGTTGAAGTGGTTTAGTCATATTGCAGCTGGTGAAAGTGGATCTTATAGACACCAGGGGATCTGTAACTTCCCAGGGGGTGACAAATCTGCAGGCAGGAAGTCAGCCCAGACTCTGCTACTGTTACAGAAAGAATCAACGCCTGACATTCTGTGCATCTGTCAGGGTCTAACATCTTCCCCAGCGCTGGACACCAATTTCCAACTTAAAAACACTCTATGGACAAAATGAAAATGTTCCATTATACACAGGGTTACTCAGTAAATAAACAGATCACTAGAATAGTAATGCATTTGATTTAGCTCACAGGCAGGGTACTCTCCCTGTTGTATCGGTCTGTTCTTATGGTGTATGTCTTTTTCCCCAACTGTACAGCGCTGCAGCATTTGTTGGCGCTTTATAAATGCCAGTAATGAATAAATATAAAGCCGGATAAGGACATCTTCTAGCTTCTGCTGAACTTCATATGGAGCGTGGCTGGCAGATGGTGTTGGGAGTTGTATTGGAGTAACAGTTGCATGGCCAGCTGTGATCCAATCACTAAGAGGGTGGCCCAAGTGGCTCGTTATCGTCACACAGTGACCACAAGTTCAAGGTCTCTGATTACCAGCAGCTCAGTATGTGTGATTTGTTAATAAATGCCCCTCTCTGTGTAACTAAAGCGGGACCACACCAGAGGCTGCCCAATCACATGATCTCAATAGGCGTCTATGGAGGCAGTATGGTGGGCCGACACTGTCCAGGACCTTTTATTTCAAAGTGTGAATCCATCCATTCATCACATTCCATTTTCCATCAATGAACGATGCCCAATTAGGAGAATTCAGCACACACACAGATCACACACCTTGACCTCTCCATCACACAGAACGCAGCAAAGGAGGCTGATGAAGGGGTGAGAAGCTGGGAAATAAGTCTGGGGCCCTTGGGATTTTGCAAGTGAACCATAGTATGATGATTCGGGGAGCTCTGGGGGACAACTAATCCTTCTCCCATAATAGAGTGAGTCAGTTCTGACGAAGCTGATGATCTGGACTACAAAACAGACCCACGATTAATGGGGGAAGTCAGAAAAATCCTTTAACAGAACAAAACAGGACTATCTATAGACTGCCCTCCAACTAAGGAGAACTATAATCTCTTTATGGCAAACAATATGTGACGGACGATTTTTATATTGAACCAAACTTTAAATTATTTAAAATATAAGCATGAAGAGGTTTCCAAGTTTCTTTTAATAAGTCAGAACTGTAATATGTATGTAACAAGCTTTGAAACACAATCTGTTGATAAAAGAATAAAGAAAACACAGGAGTGTAGCTTTATACCCCTTTCACAATATTGTACTGCATTGCGGAATAAGTTGGCGCTATATAAATACCATTAATAAGAAGAGATAGATAAATTGCAGTTCTGGTTAGGTTTTCCCTATTCTGTACCCGACATGGCACATACTGAAAATAGGATAATGGATTGGTCCCTGTGATACCGATTAGGCCCCACATGAAGACGCCTCTGATCTTGCGAAAAATGTAATAAATTTTAGTATTTATTGTTACATATGTAGAATAAGATAATATTACAGTTTAAGAAGGTGCCAACCTAACTAGCTCCATTAAAGGGACACTCCAAGCAAATTACCCACTACATTTTGCAGTCCCAGTAATGGTGCCAGGAGTGCCCGAGCACACTCATGGGGGAGGTAGTCAAACCCCTTACCCGGGGTTTGTCAGACACTGGTTACCACTGATCACATATATAAAGTACGCTATGGTTTGAGTCTGGCTCGTTTGATCTAAAGTTGGAAATGTACTTTTATAACAATTCACGAATCTGTGAAATACCCTGACAGTGCTTAATCTATCCATCTACTGGGGCATGCTAAGCCCTTGTCTATAATGAGTGGGATCAGACAGGCACACAGACTGGCAGCAAGTGGCATACACAGCTAGTTACATCCAGGCATTTGTAATGGATAAAATAATGATAGAATCTGCACCTTATATTACAAACAGACATCTAGGAAATCCTTGTGAATTTGCGAGGGGGCTTTAGAAAAAACCTAAAATAGCTATGTGTTGGTGGAAAGCTCAGCAGGACAATCTATGTACCTTCTGACTTGGTCCAAGTGTTTGGGCGTCTTTACTAGGTTCCCTACTGGTAACCGCGGCCAAGTTTCCGTTTCTGCGTTCTGAATTTTCCCCTCGAATCTCGTGGTTGTGGTCACTGCTGTCACATAATCAGCATTAGATGAACTCTTCCAAAAGGCGTATTAGTCACAGAGCGCGCGTAATTCTCTCCGCAGCCCCAGATGTTATTAGTATGACTACCAGTGAAGAAAAAGCTGCCCTCGGCCATGACCTTTCTCAAAATCTGAACAAATGGGAAGGTTGGGTTACTTCCTTATGTGTCATTTATGGCTGCAATCTCACAGGCTTCCAACTGTTCAGGAGACAAACTGTAACTGGCTGCTTTAACCAAGACACTTTGTTAAAATCAATAGACTTCAGCAAATAAGTCACAAGTCTGGTTGGGGATTAAAGCAGGGCTTATGAAGAAAATAAATCTTACACACTCTATATATGTGAGACGCCGAGATCAGAGCATGATTACAGCCATCGGCTGAGAACGTGGGAGCTTTTATTTACGTAAACCAGTTTGGAAACAACTCTTTTTGTATCAGTTTGTGTGTACAAATTGTAAAGCTTTCTGGATCAACACCCTTGTCAGCTTTTGTATTGGTCTGTGTATACTTTACTATCTTTGCCCCAATTGTACAGCGCCGTGGTAATAATAATAATAATAATAATAATAATAATAGTGTGGTGTAGTACTTAAAACTGGTTTATGAGATGTACAGTGATGCACAATCTGCAGCCTTGACAACAGGGAAAATGTCCACAAAAAAAGAGAAACCGTGGCAGACTCAGTCTAAGACTGTCTATATTTCACATGGTAGCAAAGAACAAGCTGGGAATATCCCTTTAAACATGTCGTACTGCGGCTTTTAATACAACAATGCTGTACATTCATAGAAAATGAGAACAGGAGTACAAAGAGGAAAAGAATAAGGAACCAATGCGAATGCCGGATCTAGATTTGTTTTTACAAATCCCTGCGTTACACTCAGAGGGGCTTATCAAATAAATTGCCAATTCTGGCAAATGGAAAAATCTAACTGCAATACTTAAAAAGAAAATCTGAAACAGAAGATAAATGAGGAAGAGAATGTCTCAAATCCATCCACTCTGTGATCTAATAAATTATTATTATTTATAAAGTGCCAACAAACTCCGCAGCGCTGTACAATAGGGGGACTAACAGATTTGCAACAAGTCAAGTTGGATGTAAAGGAACAGAGAATGAGAATGGCCCTGCTCAAAGCGGCTTGTGGGGGGAGTGGGGTAAAGTGACACACGAGGTAATGAAATACAAATCTAGTAAATTAAAGGATTACTGCACAGTGATTTGAAGTGGTGATGGTGTCTGGGTCTGTATACACAGAGTTTAACCCCTCTGCTGCCACAGCTGTAACTCTGCCATCAACATGTCTCTGGGGTGTCATCAGCCAACGCAGTGCTAGAGTCTCAGGCTGGCCAATGTCAATTCTGTGACATTTTCATTGCACAGAATGTCAGTCATTGGCTAAGAATGGTCAGCTGACATGCTCAACCACTGAACGGCGATAATCGTGGCCTCTCGCTTCCGCAGCTCTGAAGAAGCCAAAATTGGGTCACCAGACCAGCAGCATTGGAACATTGTGGTATCCAGGTAATGGGGCAAACCATTGCGAAATAGGTGGGAATAACCAGGGTGCGTGAAAAACTTGATTTCACTCTTACAGAGTAATTCACTACAGTGAGCATTGTCAGGAATTCAGAGTGAATTTAAATGTAAGGCTGCAACATCCTCCAAGTCAGCTCTGCTTCCAGTTCAGTTAATCTAATGTTAAATCTGAAATTTCCTTTGAATTCACAACAATTCTCACTTTGGTGAAAGACTCGGTCAGTCCTCCTGGTATACGTTATGTCCCATAGATTTAAAGGGATAGTATACAAAGCCGTATTTCTGGCACCACCAATCCCTCTGCCTCCCCTCTCCCTCGCACCCCCTCCTACACGTTAAATAAAGGGTTAAAAGCCCTCTATTTACATACCTTATCCCAGCACTGATGTCACTTGACGCTGGGTCGAAGCTCCGGTCCTCCTCCATCCCGCGACGAGTGGGGTCTAATGTGCCTGCGCGGCAAATGCATTAGACCTCCCCATAGGAAAGCATTGAATTAATGCTTTCTAATGGGGAAAAGTCTGACACTGGAGGTCCTCATTCAGAATGTGAGGACGTCCTGCGTCAGATAACGGACCAAAAGTCAGTTTAGATTCTGGAAGCGCCCCAGTGGCTGTCTGGTAGTCAGCCACAGAGGGCAGACTTAGAGCTGCAATATAAACATTGCAGTTTCTCTGGAACTATAATGTTTAACATTGCAGCACTAAGTGCAATAGGGACACAGCACCCAGACCACTTCAATTAGCCAAAATGGTCTGGGTGCCCTCAGTGTCCCTTTAAAGCAAAAAGATGCTTAGTTCGACCAAATCCTAATTATTTTATTCACATTATTTATTTCTGCATGGATTTTGGAAGTCTAATGTCAAACCAAACACTCACCAAACCAAGTGTTTCAAATCCTCTAATTAGAGCCAGAAAAGTGAGCAAAGCCCGTATCAGATCAGCACTTCTGGTACCAAGATGAATCCACACAGAACTGCCCTGATCACATTATTAAACCCTCTGCATTCTCCAACCTTGATTATTGGGTCATGAAATCCGGATTTACATGGAGCGTCTGCTGCTCTGCCAGCGTCCCAGAAAGGCTCTTTTCCTCCCATTTTTTCTAAGATCTACACAGAGACTACAAACACCATGTAAATAAACACAGCCCACATTACAGCAAAGCTGGCCTTATCGCATTGTAAAAATATTTTAGCAGTGGTAAAATGAAAACCTCAGGCCCCGGGAGACCCTGTCACTTTCATGTGGTTTGTCTTGGCAGAGAAGCGCTGGTTGAAGCCGGCACCGTGTGGGGGTAAGTCAGATCAGGGTGGGGGGAAGTGCTTTCTGTTTTATTTACAGACACCTTTCATTGGGGGCTGAGTAATACAATAATACAAATTGACCGTTTATTTAACTATGACAAGAGGAGTTTGGGAAACTAGTTATTAAATCTCCTGTAAATCTAGATCTCAAACACTGATATCAAAACACATTGTCAGGATTATCTCTTATAAGGAGTCAATAGCACCTTTTAGACCAAAAGATAGATCCCCAGATGTTGTGAAACTACAACTCCCACACGGGATGCACCAAAGTTTTTGGCTGAAAATGGTGGCATATCTGCCATAAATAGGCAACCAGCTTGCCCCGTGTGCGAGGACTCTCCCGTCTGCCCGGGGAGAGAGCCAGGACAGTCTGTAGCTCCGCCGGGTGTGAGCTGCAGACTGGAGAGACAGACCACCGGACCACAAGGAAGCCAGGACACTGGACCACCAGGGAAAACACAGTCACAAGTCACCCCCTCCCTCACTCTGCCACCCCCTCCCTCAGTCACTCTGTCACCAGTCACCCCCTCCCTCAGTCACCAGTCCTCTGCCACCCCTCCCTCAGTCACTGCCACCAGTCACCTCCTCCCTCAGTCACTCTGTCAACAGTCACCCCTCACTCAGTCACTCTGCCACCAGTCACCCCTCCTCAGTCACTCTGCCACCAGTCACCCCTCCCTCAGTCACTCTGCCACCAGTCACCCTCCTCAGTCACTCTGCCACCAGTCACCCCCCTCCCTCAGTCACTCTGTCACCCTCTCCCTCAGTCACTCTGCCACCAGTCACCTCCTCCCTCAGCCACTCTGCCACCAGTCACCCCTCCCTCAGCCACTCTTCCACCAGTCACCCTCCCTCAGTCACTCTGCCACCAGTCACCCCTCCCTCAGTCACTCTGCCACCAGTCACCCCTTCCCTCAGTCACTCTGTCACCCTCTCCCTCAGTCACTCTGCCACCAGTCACCCTCTCCCTCAGTCACTCTGCCACCAGTCACCCCCTCCCTCACTCTGCCACCAGTCACCCCCTCCCTCAGTCACTCTGTCACCCTCTCCTGATCCCCAGATATAGGCTCCACTATGGAGCTCTGATAGAACAGACTGATGCCCAGATATAGGCTCCACTATGGAGCTCTGATAGATCAGACTGATCCCCAGATATAGGCTCCACTATAGAGCTCTTATAGATCAGACTGATCCCCAGATATAGGCTCCACTATAGAGCTCTTATAGATCAGACTGATCCCCATATATACGCTCCACTATAGAGCTCTGATAGGAGGTCGGCAGTTTCCCAGATATATGCTCCACTATAGAGCTCTGATAGGAGGTTGAGCAGTTTCCCAGATATATGCTCCACTATAGAGCTCTAATAGGAGGTCGGCAGTTTCCCAGATATACCCAAGCTGTGTATAGTGCTTCATTATTGTGTATCCTAGCAACCAGGATATATTATTTATTTATTGTGTGGAGACCTATTGGGGATTTCAGTTTATTGTGACAGATCTTCAAGGAATGTCTAGAAGGATTACCGTGAATTGAGTTCCCAGGGTTCTTATCAGATCACACTGTTACTTGCCCCCCAGCAGGAGGGCCCCTTCAAACAACCAAAGATACCAATAGGACCCACACGGTCATCGAGTGCACCCCGTGGACGCCATTACTAGGATCCCAGGCTGCGGGAATAGATGGAGTTTTATATCTACAAAAACTGACACTTTCTAAACATGAATTAAAACTGACAACACGGAGTGCTTGGAGTAAGTGGTTGTCAAGCAGTATCCAGGCAGCTGATGTCGGAGATGCTGAGCGAAGGATACCGACCGTTTGTTGAGGCAGTGTGAGGGCTGGCTGAGCATTATGAGAAGTGTAGCTCACAAACCAGCGCAGAACCCGGCTATGAATTTAATGCCCAGTACTGGCACAGTTTGAGGTTTCTCTGAGCTACAGCCTAGATTGTGTGGGTGCAGAGCAGGATTAACCATATGGTAACCTTGGTGGCTGCCTGGGACCCCCAGAATCATGAATGTACTTGGTCCCACTATCAAACCCTGGATGTTAATCCTTCTCTTTGTGTGTGCTAGAGTGACATCAGCCGGGGTGAGCTAACTCAGAAAGCATCCAGCAGTCTCTAAGTACTCCAGGTCGGACACAGTAACCCTCAACACGCCAGCTGCTTTGGACCAAATTTCACTCTAGGCTTGTTGTGGGACATTAACACAACAGATTCAACTCGCCACATTTATGGATGTAGTTCACAAATGTGATGTAGAATGAAAGGACTTCAATGTTATTACAGATATTACAGTCAGTCACTTCTGTATTGGTAAACATGTAGCGGTGAGTATTTAATGGTAAACATGTAGTGGTATGTAACAGTAAGTATGCTATGGTAAACATGTAGCGGTGAGTATTTAATGGTAAACATGTAGTGGTAAGTATGTAACAGTAAGTATGCTATGGTAAACATGTAGCGGTGAGTATTTAATGGTAAACATGTAGTGGTAAGCATGTAACAGTAAGTATGTTATGGTAAACATGTAGCGGTGAGTATTTAATGGTAAACATGTAGCGGTGAGTATTTAATGGTAAACATGTAGTGGTAAGTATGTAACAGTAAGTATGTTATGGTAAACATTTAGCGGTAAGTATGTAATGGTAAACATGTAGCGGTAAGTATGTAATGGTAAACATGTAGCGGTAAGTATGTAATGAAGCTTTGTAACTGTCTCCGTGTTCCAGGACAAAGATGATGAAAACGCTGTAAATTGGGGGGACAATGGGTGATATTGGGTTAAACATTAAACATACTCTGGACTGCGTCTCTACAAACAGATTATAAATGTGATACAGACTCAGGATGGGAAGAATGCTGGATTTGTCATAACTACTCCTGTACCCTGTCCTCTGACACATCTGTTAATATCTGCTGTAAGAACGTAACACAGCAAGACGGAACTCGCTGCTGACGAAATCACCACTTTCTCTCTACGCCCAAGGGTCAGACACCTGATAGAATCACTGCATCTTGGCATTAAACAGCACTTTCATAACATAATATAATGGTACACGGAGCCAACATCATCACGTCAACACACTAATACACTCCTAATAGAATTCCAGTAAAGCAAAATCATACATAATGTATCACCACCCCCCCACCCCACACACTGAATATACCCAATACACAACCCGCACACACTGAATATACCCAATACATAACCCGCACACACTGAATATACCCAATACATAACCCGCACACCCTGAATATACCCAATACATAATCCGCACACCCTGAATATACCCAATACATAACCTGCACACCCTGAATATACCCAATGCATAACCCGCACACCCTGAATATACCCAATACATAACCCGCACACCCTGAATATACCCAATGCATAACCCGCACACCCTGAATATACCCAATACATAACCTGCACACCCTGAATATACCCAATACATAACCCGCACACCCTGAATATACCCAATACATAACCCGCACACCCTGAATATACCCAATACATAACCCGCACACCCTGAATATACCCAATACATAACCTGCACACCCTGAATATACCCAATACATAACCCACACCCTGAATATACCCAATACATAACCCGCACACCCTGAATATACCCAATACACAACCCGCACACCCTGAATATACCCAATACATAATCCGCACACCCTGAATATACCCAATACATAACCCGTACACCCTGAATATACCCAATACATAACCCGCACACCCTGAATATACCCAATACATAACCCGCACACCCTGAATATACCCAATGCATAACCTGCACACCCTGAATATACCCAATACACAACCCGCACACCCTGAATATACCCAATACACAACCCGCACACCCTGAATATACCCAATACATAAACTGGACACCCTGAATATACCCAATACATAACCTGCACACCCTGACTATACCCAATACACAACCCGCACACCCTGAATATACCCAATACACAACCCACACACCCTGAATATACCCAATACATAACCTGCACACCCTGAATATACCCAATACACAACCCGCACACCCTGAATATACCCAATACACAACCCGCACACCCTGAATATACCCGATACATAACCCGCACACCCTGAATATACCCAATACACAACCCGCACACCCTGAATATACCCAATACACAATCCGCACACCCTTAATATACCCAATACATAACCCGCACACACTGAATATACCCAATACATAACCTGCTGACTATACTCAATCCATATTACAAACACACTGAATATTCTGATACATTACACACACACAATGAATATACCAAATACATAATACTTATCCTGAATGTACCGAATACCTAAACACACACCATGAATATACACAATACACACAACATATAATATACAGACTGAAATCAATAAGACAAATACAAATTCTGCCATACAATTCACAGGATCTCATTGGTGATTAAACAAAGGGTGGGCAGAATCTATTTGGATATACTCTCAAATTGTCAAAGCATTCTATGAATACATTTCTGTGTCCTATTCATTTTTAGAGTATTTTCACAGAAATACACAGAGCTGCACACAATACATACAAGAGACCATATGTGCCAGGATTTATATATTTATCAAGTTACCAACCGGGACCTTAGTGAGTGGATTGCCAGGACTGGCTAAACCGGACACCCCATACATTTTCCATAATGCTAATTTTCAGCTTTGTACTGGGTGATATTATCCTTTCTGAGACGCCCTCCAGGGCCGGACTGGCCCACCGGGATACCGGGAAATTTCCCGGTGGGCCGCGGCACCTAGGGGCCGGCCGCGTTCCTGGGCCGGCCCTTTAAATACTGCAGCCGCCCGAGCGCTCTGTTAAGAGCCTCAGGCGGCTGCAGCTGCTCCCCTCCCCTCCCCTGTAGCGTGGCCGAGCTGCACTCCTGTTCCGCGTGGAGTTTCTGTTTCCTGTAACCGGCCGGACTGACAGGAAGTGCACACTGAGTGTGCACCTTCCTATCACTCCGGCCGGCCGGCCACCGCGGACCGGAGTGCAGCTCGGCCACGCTACAGGGGAGGGGGTAAGAACAGGGGAGGGGGGTAAGAAGAGGGGAGGGGGGATAAAAAGAGGGGGGGGAATAAGAAGGGGGATAAGAAGAGGAGGGAGGGGAACAAAAAGAGGGGAGGGGGGGGGAATAAGATGAGGGAGGGGGGGATAAGAAGAGGAGGGGGGGAACAAAAAGAGGGACGGGGAATAAGATGAGGGGGGAATAAGAAGAGTGGAGGGCGGAAATCAAGAAGAGGGAGGGGGGATAAGAAGAGGGGAGGGGGGAATAAGATGGAGGAGGGGGGGAATAAGATGAGGAGGGGGAATAAGAAGAGGGAGGGAGGAATAAGAAGAGGGGAGGGGGAATAACAAGATAGGGGAATAAAAAGAGGGGGAATAAGAAGAGGGAGGGAATAAGAAGAGGGGAGGGGGGATTAAGATAGGGGGGGAATAAGAAGAGGGGAGGGAGGGGAATAAGAAGAGGGGAGGGGGGGATAAAAAGAGGGGGGAATAAGAAGAGGGGAGGGGGGAATATGAAGAAGGGGCAGCTCTATAGGACAGGGGCCAAGACAGGGAGCTCTTTCACACTACGCGCGCACACACACACAATGCATTCCTATACATACACAGAAACACAACATGCTTCCCTTACACACAGAGAAACACACAATGCATCAATTACACACAAAGAAAATGTGTATGCATCCTTTGCACACATACACAGAAACAGACAATGCAAACCCGTACACACGCATGCAAACACACACACTTCTTTTCTTACATACACACAGAAACACAATGCATCTCATGCACACAAACACAGATTCACACAATGCATCCCTTACACACAACAAGAAACACATAATACATCCCTTATACACAAATACACACTGCTTCCACTACACACAAACACACTGCATCACCTGCACAAACTGGTAACCCTAAACACTACATACCATAAGCACACATATTAGATCCTCTACAATAACACATAACACATCCCCCACACACTCCACTCCCTGTGAGCGAACTCATGGGTGGGTGGAACTTATGAGTGGGCCTTATGGGCATACTCACCGTCAGGCCCTGGGGCCCAGACCTTGAGCTGTGTAAGGGGCCCCAAAAAAATTGAGCTGCTTCCAATTCTCCCAGAACATTGAATTTTGTGACCACAGTTGCAAACAGCCTCCAGAGATCCTGTTCTACACCAGACCAGTGGAGCCAAACTGCAGCCTATCATCATCCTCATCTGCTTGTAAGTAGGCAATCTAGTATATTATTAGTGACACTAATCTATAATTTACCTCACATTAAAGGGACACTATAGCTTAATGAAGTGGTTCTGGTGTCTATAGCTGGTCCCTGCAGGCTTTTTAATGTAAATACACACTGTGTGCAGCACTGGCGTTAGTTCATATGGCAGGTCATATGGGTGGGGCATTGTGATGTGACGTGGGGGCAGCAAATTTTTATTTTGTCTAGGGCGGCAAAAATCCTTGCACCGGCTCTGATCCTGGGCAGGTGCACCAGTCTACTTGACTGGTTTTGCCCCCCAGGCCTATGGCTGCCAGCCCTCCCCTGGCCGCTGGGGAGGTCTTTTGGCGGCCGCTGGCGGACTTGTCCTGGCGGCCGATGAGTTGCGCCATATCTTCAGTCCTAGTCTTCTAGCAGCGCCATGAAGGGAGGGCACTAACACAGGAAGCACCTCTGGTGACCGTCTGAGTGACTGTCACTAGCAGTGTCACTTTGAAGCAATGTAAACACTGCCTTTTGTCTGAAAAGTCAGTGTTTACGTTGAAAAGCCTGTAGGGACATGCTATAGACACCAGTACCACCACATTAAGCTGTGTGTGTGCGTCTGCTAGTGAGTGAGCTTGCTTGCATGCGTGTGCCTGCTAGTGAGTGAGCTTGTGTTTTTATGTCAATGAGCTGATGTATATCAGTAAGATTGTTTGTCTATGAGGCTGCGTATCAATGAGCTTGTGTGTGTCACTGAAATGTCAGTGAAATTGCCTGTGTCTGCATGTGAGTATGCTTACTGTATAATTAAACGTTTTACCCTGAAAGGACCAATATTTTATATTAGAAAAGCAATATATATATATATATATATATATATATATATATATATTACTCAATCATCTGTCCTGGAAAGATATAGCCTTACATATTACACGCGACAATATATGGCGCAGTGACTTATGGGGCTGGCACAAATTTTTTTTCCAGGGCTGCTTTGTATCCCCAGTCCGGCCCTGCTGCCCTCTGCTTATCTGTGATTGGCCTGATAACGGCAGGATGGGATAAGGAACAGTAAACGTTTGGAATACAATAGACTAATAACACAAAATAGTTAAACCCTCCATACTCCAAGTGAAGTAAATGGCTCTCTCTTTGCATGACATCACACGTGGAAACAAAATATCAACCAACTCCTGCTCCATCCATTGCTTCCCTCTTGTATTTCCGATTTCAATACCTTTATTTACCATCAGTAAGAGGAAGTAGACTGAAGATGGGGCATGCACAATGTGTTTCCCATAACCCTGGCATAGCAGTTTCTATAGTCTCCGCAGACTCTGGAATCGGTTTGTATAAATGAGAGAAACGCATGCGCGGACATTCGCAGCCAGTGAATTCTGTCCAAACACGAGCAGAACTGACATCACCAATTTGGGAGTAACGACTTCCACATTACTAATATCTAAGCAGGAGACTAGACTGGAGGTGCCGGGGGAATCATTTGGTAAACCACTTACTATGGGATGGCACTATAACCACTGTAGTGTGCTGTAGTAATTATGATGCTTAGACTGCCCTTTTACATTCTCCTACAGATAAAGAAAGCTGCGGAGACACATAGCCGCAATAAATCTTAAAAAGGTAATAGAGTGGAGACCTTTGACAGAGAGCACGTAATAGATAAGGTGTTAGTGAGTCAGTAAAGAACTATTTGTTATATTGAACATCTGTGCAAAGTAACTGCAATGCTGACTTATTGCACCATGCCTCCGAAACCTTCCGATATTGGAAGATTAATACCTCGTGCAGACACAAATCCCCCCTGCCCTCCCCCGTGCTGTGCTTCTTAGCTCATATACTATACTGTACATCACGGATCACACAAATATATCACAACAATGCATTAATACATTCTTTTCTGTCAATTCTGTGTTCGTGTTTACTTTCCATATTACGGAAATGGCACTCACTACTGATTGAGCCACAGACCGTGGTCCTGGCAGACTCCACACAGCAAATATAACCCAGTTTAGCGATTCATATTGCTGGGCGGTATGTACAGCCCGTTTAGTGTAAAACGATTGAAAACGGTTTGTTATAGGAGATAAACTTTGGCACATTGGTGTAAGCTAGCAACAGCTGTAAAAATAGAAGGAATTTCTCACTGTGAATTGAAAATTGATCGTAGTTAAACAAAGTTGTAAAAGTTGAATAGACAGTCTAAGTGAATTTAATGGGATTTAGCCCATTTATCACATGTCCTGTTAAAGAGAAACTGTCACATTTTTGTTTTTTTCTTTTCTTCAACCCATCACATTATGGAAGAATTAACTGGGGTTTGGTGTGCCACCATCTTTATGAGAAGCTCTGTGTGTGTGCATGGCTCCTTTCTGCCTGCAAAGGATCATGGAACTTTTAAATTTGCATTGGATGCCAACCCATCCTTGCATTGGATACAAGTCCAAATACTGTTCGTTTAAATTTTTTTTATTAAAGCATAACTAATTGGTTGAACTAAGGTTTACTCATTGAATGTCCCATTATGATGAATGAGGTGGATCTGTGAACCAGCCCAGAATTTTATCCACTGTGCATTTCACAAGGTCTAAATGGGATGAAATAAAATGTCTACTAACAGCAACAGTTGCAGAGTGTGTTCATTCACACACTGAAAGAAAACTTCTGAAATTCCCATTAATGTTAGCAGACAGTGCGGCGGACGGCTGCCTGTTATGTGTCTCCCCACAGTTAGATAATGTCAGATCCTGCTCATTTGAGAAGCTAATCTCATTAGTCTGTGACATGTGGTTAGGGTAGCCTAGTGAGGCTGATGCTGATATGAATTACCACGGACATTCTTCTGAAAACTCAGGAAACCTAGAATGGAACGGCGCTGCTATCACTCAAACACTTCTAACAACAACAAAGTCGGGGCAAAACTAATTTCCTCTCCCTGCTCTTTAACCAGCCTTTAGCACCTGTCTCTACATCAAACACTAAATGGGCCTCCAGGACGGCTGGATATCCAACTAGGCCCCCGAGATGGCAGAGTGACAGAGACAGGCGTCTTCGCTCAACCAAAGGAATAAAACAATAAAAATTTATATAAACGAATAAATCACTTAGTCTTTTCTTGGTTAACCCCTTCAGGACCAGCGACAATCTACCTGTCTTTCTAATGAAATGTCCTGATTTTTCAGCAGGGTCACTTCATGCTGATATAAGGTGTCCAAGCTGTGAGATATAGAATTGGCTCACTAGGAGTTAAACACTACAGCATGCAGACTGATGTAATAAGTGTGAGCAGGACGTTTAACCCGATGTATGTTAATCTTTCACATGATAACGGGACACAAACAGCTATACTTACCATGATTCCACTAAACGCCATATAGGATTCTAGAAAATTTTAAGTTTGCCTTCTGGAAATCCTTAACAATTTCCTAAGTAGACATGGTATGTGAAAAGGTCTCTACATAGAAGCTATTACCTATATTCAGTATTATAGAGCAGGCAGGGATACGACTTTGTTCACATTATTATTAGTTATATAGCGCCAACAAATTCCGCAGCGTTGTACAATGGGTGGACTGACAAACACGTAATATTAACCAGACGAGTTGGATGCACAGGAACAGAGGGGCTGAGAGCTCTGCTTAATGAGCTTACATGCATTATGAGTTTGTCTTCGGAGCCGGGGGATGCTGTAAGTGCCAGGGAAATTCACTTCAACCACCCTGCTGGAAAGCTTCCCCTAAAATCTATCCCTTCCTGCCAGGGGGCAGAGAAACAGGGCATGCCGTCACTATACCACCAGGGGGACAGAGATTGTCCTCTATCCTGTCCTGCCACGGGTGCAGAACGTGCCCTCTATCCCGTCCTGCCAAAGGGGCAAAGCGTGCCCTCTAGCCCGTCCTGCCAGGGGGCAGAGCGTGCCCTCTAGCCCGTCCTGCCAGGGGGGCAGAGAGTGCCCTCTAGCCCGTCCTGCCAGGGGGGCAGAGAGTGCCCTCTAGCCCGTCCTGCCAGGGGGGCAGAGAGTGCCCTCTAGCCCGTCCTGCCAGGGGGGCAGAGCGTGCCCTCTAGCCCGTCCTGCCAGGGGGGCAGAGCGTGCCCTCTAGCCCGTCCTGCCAGGGGGCAGAGCGTGCCCTCTAGCCCGTCCTGCCAGGGGGGCAGAGCGTGCCCTCTAGCCCGTCCTGCCAGGGGGGCAGAGCGTGCCCTCTATCCCGTCCTGCCAGGGGGGCAGAGCGTGCCCTCTATCCCGTCCTGCCAGGGGGGCAGAGAGTGCCCTCTAGCCCGTACTGCCAGGGGGGCAGAGAGTGCCCTCTAGCCCGTCATGCCAGGGGGGCAGAGCGTGCCCTCTAGCCCGTCCTGCCAGGGGGGCAGAGCGTGCCCTCTAGCCCGTCCTGCCAGGGGGGCAGAGAGTGCCCTCTAGCCCGTCCTGCCAGGGGGGCAGAGAGTGCCCTCTAGCCCGTCCTGCCAGGGGGGCAGAGAGTGCCCTCTAGCCCGTACTGCCAGGGGGGCTGAGCGTGGAATAGCCTTCATATAGAGATGGTTCAGATGAACATACTGGTAAAGTTCTAACTTTTCCAACTCTTTCCCTTCTCTTGCCTAGAGTAACATATTAAACACACACACATTCTGGATACAAAGTTCTCCACAGACTGGAAATAAAATATTAAATACAGAGCTCCATGTAGAAACTGTATCAGTCTAGGTTGACGGGTCAGGTGCAGACATCCCGTCATTTTGTCAGTGCACCCCCACTGCTGTGTTCCTACCTGGTGCCCAGGTGTCTCAATGACAAATGACTGGTCGACCTGTGCTAAAGTAGGCATAGTGTGACATCCTGGCCTGTTCATGGGGTCAGAGTACGGGTGACTAAAAGGTGAATCCTGTGCTGTAGAGCTACATGTGCATTATCAACTGTAAAGCAGGGGGTCTTCTTTTTGGTAATCCCTGGATTAGTAGAGCCTTTCTTTAACCAGGGAAGACAAAATGCCAAAGGCCAATCGCCAGCCATCACTACAGCGCTGGGTGGACGCCTGGAATTCTTATCCGGATTATTTTAACAAGTTCAATAATGCAGAGCACACTTTAGTTTTAGCTGTTGAACGTTTTTTCCCTTTTTTTAAAAAATCCAACTAGAACGGGAAGTTAGTACCTGATCGATGAGCCATTGTCTGTCAGACCATGAATCGAAGTAGGTGATACAATATATTTAAAGGTCATTCAGTTTATTCCTTAGCAACAGTAGCTATGGGAGATGTGCAAGTCAATATTTGCAGCTAATCTCCGTGACAGTTGTGCTAAGATGGATTCAGACACCATTATCACTGTGGCAGCACAGATGCTTACAGCTGTGAAGGGCTGTCAGAATTCTGGATTGCTAACTTGTTGCTCATTGTGTACTGCGCTCTATCTGTTCCGATATTCCACAATTTTAAAATGAGATTAATTTCTAGAATGGTGTATTGGCAATGTTACATGTTCTGCCTCTTTGATACTGAGCATTGTTTATGGGACACGCCAGATGAGATCAAAGGCCAAGGAGATAACGTTGTACGGTGTAATATGTACAAAGCATTCCCCAGGACACCTATTCACATTCGGGCTACAAGATCCGAAACACTGAATAAATAAATAAATAAATAAATAATAATAGGTCCCCAGATGGCAGCACCCAATATGAAAAGGAGCCTGTCTGTGGCTGGATGAGAATGACTGGATTTAGAGTCCTATAACAGCTCTGTAGCTATACTGGCTGTCACAAGTGCAGCCCTAAAATGACATTCACATATAATCAATCAATGTCAATCGACAGATGTTTATTACTAGATCTCAATAGCAGGGGTTTCTGGGAGAGGTTTAGAAGTCCATCCCCCATGGCCCTTGTTTTGCGGTATATACACTTTCTTTCTATTGGGACTGTTTTCCCTTTTTTGTATTTTTGTTTTTTATGCTCCTTCCTGGTCGGGATTTACGTTTTGGTTATTTTTGATTTTGAAACATTACGTTTAATAATATATGTAACATGTTTATGTAAAAATCCATATTTTTCTATGTTTGCATATTACCCTGTTTTATGGTCACTTCTATATCGGGTCTTCACTTCCCTGTATATTGTATAGTTGATTGGGGTTGGAGTATTTGTTATTGTTTATATATTTTGCTTTTGTATTATTAAAAACAACCACTTTTCAATGAAAATATTTGAAAGGACATTGGAGAAGCTAATTTTGTAGAGGAAAACATACAAGTGGTTTTCGGCATCTTTTACCAAGTCATCCAGCTGCCAATGTGCAAGTGTGAGTTCTGATATGTTCTCACACTGTTGGTGAATCAGGGGGTCACTAAAATAAAACTGGGCTTCTCCTTGAAATTAACAAATTTGTTAAACAAAGGACAATAAATGTAATAAATGAGATCTTTATTGAGCTGCTGTGCAGTTATCAGTGTGTTGTGATAATACTACTTTACTAGTTTAGAATTTCTTTAGATATTGGAACAAGGTGTCATATCAGCGGTCTTGGACCTATACTAGAGTGTGGAGTCTTGCACCAGTTCTCGACATATATAGCCGGTGCAATCAGAAGAGGTAAGGAGTAACTGCTAACCATGATGGGATGGAACGTGTAGTGTATACAAGAGTAAGGACAGCTCATATAACTTCACAGTTTAACTGTACAAATGACTAAGGTGTGGGGTTTAGCTTAGCAATAAAACATTTACTGCCGCAAGGAATGTGAAGGAAGTGTTGTAAATATAAAGATATTATACTTTTTACATCAAACTGGAAACTAATACATCACATTACCCTGAATGAGTTATGGACTGTGGGTGCTTTACAGATAAACCAGGCTTATCCCAATTACAGATACTAATTACTAACCTGTCCTAAAGGTTTCTTGTCAGTGTAGGCCTGGAAGGTCTGTAGCACCCTTACCAGGGGTGAAATTACTACTTGCCCTGGCTGAATTTTGCTCACCAATGGCTAGTGGAAATCCTGAGCCATGCACGAACATGTATATAGAATTCAAAGTGAATTTCAAATGTTTGGCCAAAATAGACAATTTGGAAAGATTCTAAAAGGTCTGTTTTTTAGTTTATCTATTTTGCCTGAAAACATACTTACAGTTTCAAGAATAACGTTCTACTAGAATTGCTTATTACTTTATTTCAGAATAGCACAGGAGGGGGAGGTAACAGACAAATAGCCAAAACTCTATTCTAGACACAAAGTCAATTCAGCCAACAATACTGTAATAGGCTGTATACATGGTGATGGGACTGGGTCTAGTCAGGGTGTAAGACAGGCTAAGGGTCAAGGTGTAAGATAGGACAGGGTATAGGTCAGGGTGTAAAATGGAACTGGGTATAGGACAATGTATAGGTCAAGGTGTACAACAGGACAGTGTATAGGTCAGGGTGTAGGACAGTCAGTGTATAGATCAAGGTGTATGACAGGACAGTGTATAGGCCAGGACAGTGTGTAGGTCATGGTGTAGGATGGTTAAGGTGTAGGACAGAGTGTAGGACTGGACAGTGTATAAATTAGGGTGTAAGATGGAACAGTGTATAGGTCAGGGTGTAGGACAAAAAGGGTATATATATATATATATGTCATGGTATAGAAGGTATGGCTTGATTTTGCACTACATATTCTTTTAGACTACATACACCAGAGATAGTCAAGGGGAAGGACTACAACCATGATACTTTAACAGGCAGACAAAGCATCACAATAGTTGTGGTCTTACAACAGCTGGAAGTCTAATGAGCATCATGGGAAATCTACTTCACCTGGGTTAGTACCATCACTGAGATACAAGTGTCCGATTCATTCAGTCTGGGGTACTAATGTCCGATTCATTCAATCTAGGGTACTAATGTCCGATTCATTCAGTCTGGGGTACTAATGTCCGATTCATTCAGTCTGGGGTACTAATGTCCGATTCATTCAATCTAGGGTACTAATGTCCAATTCAATCAGTCTGGGGTACTAATGTCCGATTCATTCAATCTGGGGTACTAATGTCCGATTCAATCTGAGGCTTTGCGTGAAACATCCTCAGTTGGTCTCAGAACACAGCCCATCATCCACTTTAAACAAGCAAGTAAATACAATTATTAGGACATATGTACATAGTAGCGAGGGTAATGAATGCACCTACCTGCAATTCCTTGTAGCAGCCCGCAGACATTGAATATGCTTTTCTTCATCACACTTTGAATACACATGGTGAAAACAGACACAAATGCCACAATACAGAGAATAGAGATTCCCACGGCTAGGAAGATGGCAGTCGCCTGCCAGAATCCACTAGCGATTTCATTGAAATGCTCTGCATACGGACCACACAGTGTCGCTCTCCGCGAATCCTGTACGTGAGACAATTTAATACAGCGTCCATAGATGCCCAGTGAGGGACCATTGAATTCCTGCTGTCCCCCAGTCCTGTTGTCCACCTCTGTGTTTTTGGATTTGCCAATCAGCCAGTCCGCACTCATAAAGGCGATGAGCTCGCCAAACGCCACAACGATGCTCAGTATGGTCCATAGCATCGAGCGGCAAGTTACGATTACATGACACATGGTGGACTGCGCTGACTGCTGCCCAGTGGGGTCAAACTGGCACACAATGAGAAAGTTCAATGCTTTGCAATGTATTTATTTTGAGGGTAGGCTAAAAAAAACAACCATGCAAAATCCCAAATCAGAAAAGAAATCCAGACTCGTAGGGTTTTTTGTCTTTATTCCTCCAGACAGGGATTTGTTCTCAATGGAAAGTGTTTCTCCTCCGTCTGAGGCTGCAGTTAGTTCAGCTCTTGCACAGATACTGTAACATGATTCCAGGGCTGTTTCGGTAGTTCCCAGGCACTGCCCACCAGGCTGACATCACAGGCCTACAGGAGAAACAAGGGAAGAATGGCTAGCTGTGTGATCACATTATCACAGACACAATGTACCCAAATTAACATAACAAACATGTAATAATGGGTCACTCTGCATGCACCATCCCACAGGGCACATCTCACAAACTGACTGTCTTAGGATTCTCATTTTCAAAACATAGGTTCTAGGAAGGAATGTCAGAACCCCATCCCTTTTCTCAGTTTGTAGTAACCTGCCCTGGAGTACATAGAAATCATATGCTGCAGAATGCAAATTAAGTAATTGATTAAGGAGGGATTAATTAATGATATTCCAACAGCAGCACAGTTCGATTATAGATGGGGAGCACTTTTTATGTCTAGTTAATGAGCATGAAGCAATGAAGGTGTGACTGTTCTCGGCCTGAGAAATGAATTACATGAATGATAGCCTACAAGGTCTGTGTGAATAAGGGGCAGCCAGGATTAGTAACAGGGGGGGAGGGGGCGCTTAATGACTTTCCAAAACAGACCTAGAGCTTTCCATACCCGTCATATTATTAATGTGTGACTTTTAGCGGAAAGGACCCGGCAGTAATACAGGATCCAAAGGGAAATGTGCCTCTTCCCAATGAGCAAAATACCCTGAATTCAGGTCAGTGTGACCATTGTATGGAATCCTTTACACATATTTGTTACAAAATAATTTGTTTAATAAAATACAAACGTGTTAATTTAGTTCACAAATCCCTATAAAAGATCTAACCAAATAAAACACAGGTAGAATAGGCTGGGAGGGGGGATGGATTGACCTATTCAGTGCTGTGGATTTATATAACTATAGACTTTCAGTTTACAGAAATGCAGAGTTACTTGAATAAACCCCACTGTCTCTGGAAGCACTGAGAGAGTTAAACACACAGACATTGATTTCTTGAGATTGACTCAGTGTTAACTTTCTGCTTTCCCAGAACCACATGCTGGAAGGGAGAAAACGCAACGCACCCTCAGGCTACCAGAAGGTTAAATTATGATCAATTAGGGAGGTGCTAAGCCCTAATTAGAAAATGATTGCTCAACAAAAACACATGTTCAGAAGCCACATTTTACAATGAGTGTGTTTGTGAGCATAGCTAGCTAATCAATACACTGTCACTGTCTGCATGCTTTGAAAACCACCACATCAAACAATCTGTTACAGCGGAGAGCGCTTTCTGTGATGGGCCATCCCAGTGCTAAAAAGGTTCCCAAAATGCAACATTAACAGGCTTATTCAACAAAGTGAGAAATCAAAGAGAATTTCACATTTCAGGCCAAAGTAGTCAAACTGGAAGCATACCTAACTTTTTTCCCACTTCAGCTATTTTGGCCTTAAATTTTAAATTCACCTAAAATTCTCCCTCCAGTGAATTACCCTATATATGCCTTGAGACGGGCCATTGATTTTAAAGCCTCATCGTATCAGGGGTTAGTCAATAATAACCGAATTGTAGTAAATAAAAATCCAAACTGTAAAACCTAGGAACAAGCAGCCACCTAGAGTGACCTGGAGAGTTTGGCCCAATGTGCTATTTTAGTAAATACTGCCATTTGGTGTTTAAGAAAACATTGGCTTTGGTTAGAATAATCCTTGCTTGGATCCCTTCACGTTTGGCTGAAGAGGATAATGTATACAGAGTGCTGGGCAGTGATATTCACCTAGCATAGGTTTTTATTAACTAACTCAGTTGTTGTGAATTGCTAATAAATGTGTAGGCAAAATAAACAAACCAAAACTGCTGCTTGTAACACAGCGGGATGCTTTCAAGTCCGCTATTTTTGCCTAAATGTTGCTTCAATTTCAATCCTCCTAACCGGCGTACCCAAAAGGTGAATTCCCAGATGTTTTAAAACTACAGCTTCCATGATGCTAGGTCTTTCTAAAAGCATTCTAAAAACATGCAAAGCATCATGGGAGCTGTAGTTCTACAACATTGGGTGGATCTACCTTTTTGGGCACCCTTGCTCTACAATTCAGGGAATAAACACCATATGGGTCCAGGAAAATATGGCGGAATTGGCAACTCAACCTATAAGGGGAATGTAAATTAATTAAATAAAATCATTACCTCCCCCAACATGTATCGCCCAGTGCGCTGGGAGAAAACAGGCCATAACGTGACAACATATATTAAAGACAATCTGTCAAACTCACCAAGGTGACACAATGACAAAACACTCTTAACACTTGCAGTTCCACAGTACAAGTGGCATGCCGTAGATATTTCTTTTAAACGGATTGATTAAAGGATTTTAAGGACAGCTAATCTTAGAACATCTGAAATATTTTTTTGTGTAGAAAATTTTTTCTTTAATCTTTAAAACCCTATCACTTACAAACAAAAACATAACCCACTATATTTATAAATAGATTTAAAAAAAAAAAAGTTTTAAAATCATTTAAATGTTGGCCATTCTACTATAGACAAACAATTAACAATAACCGATGAGTTAGTGTGAGAATTTGATACACTAACGGATATCACTGCTAGTGTGAGAATTTGATACACTAACCGATATCACTGCTAGTGTGAGAATTTGATACACTAACCGATATCACTGCTAGTGTGAGAATTTGATACACTAACCGATATCACTGCTAGTGTGAGAATTTGATACACTAACCGATAGCACTGATAGTTTGAGAATTTGATACACTAACCGATATTACTGATAGTGTGAGAATTCGATACACTAACCGATATCACTGATAGTTTGAGAATTTGATACACTAACCGATAGCACTGATAGTTTGAGAATTTGATACACTAACCGATATTACTGATAGTGTGAGAATTCGATACACTAACCGATATCACTGATAGTTTGAAAATTTGATACACTAACCGGTATCACTGCTAGTGTGAGAATTTGATACACTAACAGATATCACTGCTAGTGTGAGAATTCGATACACTAACCGGTATCACTGCTAGTGTGAGAATTCGATACACTAACCGATATCACTGCTAGTGTGAGAATTTGATACACTAACCGATATCACTGATCGTGTGAGAATTTGATACACTAACCGATATCACTGATAGTGTGAGAATTTGATACACTACCCGATATCACTGATCGTGTGAGAATTTGATACACTACCCGATATCACTGCTAGTGTGAGAATTTGATACACTAACCGATATCACTGATAGTTTGAGAATTTGATACACTAACCGATATCACTGCTAGGGTGAGAATTTGATACACTAACTGATATCACTGCTAGTGTGAGAATTTGATACACTAACCGATATCACTGCTAGTGTGAGAATTTGATACACTAACCGATATCACTGCTAGTGTTAGAATTTGATACACTAACCGATATCACTGCTAGTGTGAGAATTTGATACACTAACCGATAGCACTGATAGTTTGAGAATTTGATACACTAACCGATATTACTGATAGTGTGAGAATTCGATACACTAACCGATATCACTGATAGTGTGAGAATTTGATACACTAACCGATATCACTGATCGTGTGAGAATTTGATACACTACCCGATATCACTGCTAGTGTGAGAATTTGATACACTAACCGATATCACTGATAGTTTGAGAATTTGATACACTAACCGATATCACTGCTAGTGTGAGAATTTGATACACTAACCGATATCACTGCTAGTTTGAGAATTTGATACACTAACCGATATCACTGATAGTGTGAGAATTTGATACACTAACCGATATCACTGATAGTGTGAGAATTTGATACACTAACCGATATCACTGATAGTGTGAGAATTTGATACAATAATCGATATCACTGCTAGGGTGAGAATTTGATACACTACCCGATATCACTGATCGTGTGAGAATTTGATACACTACCCGATATCACTGCTAGTGTGAGAATTTGATACACTAACCGATATCACTGATAGTTTGAGAATTTGATACACTAACCGATATCACTGCTAGGGTGAGAATTTGATACACTAACCGATATCACTGCTAGTGTGAGAATTTGATACACTAACCGATATCACTGCTAGTGTGAGAATTTGATACACTAACCGATATCACTGCTAGTTTGAGAATTTGATACACTAACCGATATCACTGATAGTGTGAGAATTTGATACACTAACCGATATCACTGATAGTGTGAGAATTTGATACACTAACCGATATCACTGATAGTGTGAGAATTTGATACAATAATCGATATCACTGCTAGGGTGAGAATTTGATACACTAACCGATATCACTGCTAGTTTGAGAATTTGATACAGGTACTGTAAACCAAAGTACTGCAACATTTACATGAAAAACATGCAGAACGCATCATGTACAACAAAAACAAAACCTGATCAAAAAATAATCCAGAACTGCCTTGATTTGATTTTTCTGAAGACCAGCCCTTTTCATGCCCTGCCCATTGGCTAGTAGCAGGGAAATAAGAGAAATCTGGAATCCTAGAGCAACTGATTGGAAAATGCCAGTTTGTGTACTGGGTAACCACAAACTATTGTAACCTTTTCTGTTTTTGGATGTAACAGGAGCGATCTGTGCGACTCAACGCTTACGTAAAAGAGGGATAGTCTGCCTTGGTTTCACAACATACAAGAATAAAAGGTCTGTTTACTTTACTGGGTGGAAGTCACTGATACGCACACTGTAACAGGACTAGGTTTCACTTAATCAGTGATCCCTGAGTAAATAAACAAATCTGCTAGGATTTGCTGTCCCCACTCTGCACTGCTAGGGGGCTGCATAAATAAAGATTAGGGGATGTTAGTATCTCAGAGACAGTACATTGAGAGTTTGCTTTTAAACAAATTATGGTTTGTTTTTAAAGCTGTAAGGATACACCAGGTCAAAAACAAAACAACAACAAACAAAACAAATAATACAAAAATGTAAAGTTAGCCATGATGTAAAAAGATTTAGGATTTTCAACACATTAACCCATCCCCCACCTTCAGATGCTAATAGAACAATTAGGGCTGTATATTGGAAGCAGGGTGACCACCCAGACTGCTGGCAAAGAAACAGATAGCACTAATGGTGGTATTTCTTAAAGGGACACTGTAAACAGTGTAACTGCTTTCTCATTGAAGTGGTTATAGTGTTAGACACCGTCTTTCCATTTAGTGTTAAACACTTTTTAGTGTTTTAATGCTAAACGATTCCACAGCATCCCATGCCCTCTGTGCTGCTTGGGCTAATAAGGAAAAAACTGCTTCAAGCCTATCACAACGCCCATTGCTGGTATGAATCGGTATGACTAGAAGGAAGTGTGTAATCTCTGCCTTAGCCACACCTCCAGTGGGGGCGGAGTTATGGGAAGCCCAGGACCCTCATTAAGTGTTTAATTGCTCGAGCACAGTTTAACACAGAATGGAGGGACAGCACCTGGTGACTCCAGGCACTATAACAATCTCTCCGGGTCTCTCTGAGCCATTGAGTGCAACTCCCATTGAAATTAAAGGGTGATTAGATTAGGAGATCTCATTGACACCAGGAGCCAGGAATAGTTCCTGCATTATGCAACATGTGTTTGCTGATTAAAATAGTAAGACAATACTGTCCAGCCTTGGGCAGTGGGAGGGTGGGTATATGATGATGGAGGGTGAATGGCCACCCTATCCAGAAGGAGGCACTGGTTGTGGTGTCAGGAGTCCCCTGGCGATGTCCCATGGCATGTAGTCAAACTATTTTTGGCTGGTTTGACACTCACCTGGGTCCATGGATGCGGAATTTACACGACTGATGTTATAGCTACTTCTCATGGGATGGCGTCAGGGAACTCCAGGCACAAAAGCCCATATAGAGAGCTGTAGTGTAGTGTTTATGGTACCTAGAATATTGCAGATTTAGCAAAAACATTGCAAAAAGCAGACAAAAAAGAAATCTCCAAACCTAAGTTGAACACTGCGAGTTTCAGTTGCCTTCAGTAATAATCAAAACTGGAATTCTGCGTATAATAAAAGATTCACAGTTTCTGCAATCTATAATGTATTTGTGACTAAGTGAATAACCCTCATTGTTTGCAAATCAAAGCTACGTAGCAAGCCCTCTCCGTTACCTCGATGTCTTAGGCATTATTAATCACCGGGATTTGGAATATGAAACTGGAACGGCTTCCTTACAGCTCACAGATTGCACCTTGAAGTGCATGTCCATTTGTCCCATTCACCCAATCAATACAGATCCTCCACTCTCTCCCCAGGAAGCTATGCCGTGTGGAGCAGCACAGCCTGGGGGTCACGGTAACAGTAACTGGTTTGCACACATCGCTCACGTTTCCTGGAAAGACACACACTCACACTTGCTAGAAGATGATTGGACTTGTCATGGATTGCGGTTACTGAATACAGGAATGGCACAATGTTACATTGTTTAAAAATTAATTATCCTTCAGAATATTTAGCTGGTAGAGTTGATTGGTCTTTAACCATAAACAGTCTACAATACTCCAGTACGGGAATTAACAAAACATTTTCTTCCAGTGATATATAGCCAATGAAATTACACAGAGCAGAGAACACAACAGCTGTACTACGACTTCCTGCTGAACATTGATACGACTAGTATGGTGCGCACACGCCACTCGGCGAGGATAACACAGCTTCTGCTATGATGTCACACAGACAGCGCTAGGCCAGAGGGAAGCACTGCTTGTATTATGATGTCACACAGACAGCGCTAGGCCAGAGGGAAGCACAGGTTGTATCATGATATCATACAGAGAGCTAGGCGAGAGGGAAGCACTGCTTGTATCATGATGTCACACAGACAGCGCTAGGCGAGAGGGAAGCACTGCTTGTATCATGATGTCACACAGACAGCGCTAGGCGAGAGGGAAGCACAGCTTGTATCATGATGTCACACAGACAGCGCTAGGCGAGAGGGAAGCACAGCTTATATCATGATGTCACAGACAGCGCTAGGCGAGAGGGAAGCACTGCTTATATCATGATATCATACAGAGAGCTAGGCGAGAGGGAAGCACTGCTTGTATTATGATGTCACACAGACAGCGCTAGGCGAGAGGGAAGCACAGGTTGTATCCTGATATCATACAGAGAGCTAGACGAGAGGGAAGCACAGCTTGTATCATGATGTCACACAGACAGCGCAAGGCGAGAGGGAAGCACTGCTTGTATCATGATGTCACACAGACAGCGCTAGGCGAGAGGGAAGCACAGCTTGTATCATGATGTCACACAGACAGCGCTAGGCGAGAGGGAAGCACTGCATTGTATCATGATGTCACAGACAGCGCAAGGCGAGAGGGAAGCACAGGTTGTATCATGATATCATACAGAGAGCTAGGCGAGAGGGAAGCACTGCTTGTATTATGATGTCACACAGACAGCGCTAGGCGAGAGGGAAGCACAGCTTGTATCATGATGTCACACAGACAGCGCAAGGCGAGAGGGAAGCACTGCTTGTATCATGATGTCACACAGACAGCGCTAGGCGAGAGGGAAGCACAGCTTGTATCATGATGTCACAGACAGTGCTAGGCGAGAGGGAAGCACTGCTTGTATCATGATGTCACAGACAACGCTAGGCGAGAGGGAAGCACTGCTTATATCATGATGTCACAGACAGCGCAAGGCGAGAGGGAAGCACAGGTTGTATCATGATATCATACAGAGAGCTAGGCGAGAGGGAAGCACTTGTATTATGATGTCACACAGACAGCGCTAGGCGAGAGGGAAGCACTGCTTGTATCATGATGTCACATAGACAGCGCTAGGCGAGAGGGAAGCACTGCTTATATCATGATGTCACAGACAGTGCTAGGCGAGAGGGAAGCACTGCTTGTATTATGATGTCACACAGACAGAGCTAGGCGAGAGGGAAGCACTGCTTGTATCATGATGTCACACAGACAGCGCTAGGCGAGAGGGAAGCACAGCTTGTATCATGATGTCATACAGACAGCGCTAGGCGAGAGGGAAGCACTGCTTGTATCATGATGCCACACAGACAGCGCTAGGCGATAGGGAAGCACAGCTTGTATCATGATGTCATACAGACAGCGCTAGGCGAGAGGGAAGCACAGCTTGTATCATGATGTCACACAGACAGCGCTAGGCGAGAGGGAAGCACGGCTTGTATCATGATGTCACAGACAGTGCTAGGCGAGAGGGAAGCACTGCTTGTATTATGATGTCACACAGACAGCGCTAGGCGAGAGGGAAGCACAGCTTGTATCATGATGTCACAGACAGTGCTAGGCGAGAGGGAAGCACTGCTTATATCATGATGTCACAGACAGCGCAAGGCGAGAGGGAAGCACAGGTTGTATCATGATATCATACAGAGAGCTAGGCGAGAGGGAAGCACTTGTATTATGATGTCACACAGACAGCGCTAGGCGAGAGGGAAGCACTGCTTGTATTATGATGTCACACAGACAGCGCTAGGCGAGAGGGAAGCACTGCTTGTATCATGATGTCACATAGACAGCGCTAGGCGAGAGGGAAGCACTGCTTATATCATGATGTCACAGACAGTGCTAGGCGAGAGGGAAGCACAGCTTGTATCATGATGTCACACAGACGGCGCTAGGCGAACGGGAAGCACGGCTTGTATCATGATGTCACACAGACATCGCTAGGTGAGAGGGAACCACGGCTTGTATCATGATGTCACACAGACAGCGCTAGGCGAGAGGGAAGCACAGCTTGTATCATGATGTCACACAGACAGCGCTAGGCGAGCGGGAAGCACAGCTTGTACCATGATGTCATGTTGTATTTAACCCAGCAATATAAATATGAAAGAATCTACAAAACGACATGTTTTACATTACAGGGTTATAGAGACAGGACCATTGCACTTTAAATAGAGCTAATTAATGTTTATATAAAATGCTCCCTGAATAATTCTTACATGGATATCCACATTAGCGACACAGTTCATATCGAGTAGACATCGAGACTGCACTCACAGTATCAACCCGCATTTTACAGTAATAAAGGTGCAATGACAGAAATGAAAGGCCATTCCAACAACATATGTAAAAGCTGGTCTCCTGCCACGTAGGTCCTAGGATGTGTTTATCTTACTGTTATGGCAACCTAACAATCAAAATCTGATTAGAGGGAAAAGCAGAGCTACAATTCAGGCTGTGTCTTTAACACAGCCCTCTCCAATGACAGAAAGCACAGTTAGACACTGGGGACGTAGCACGGCATCTGTTAAATCTGGGGGGGGGAATTAACTATAGGTCACTGCATCAACTGGCAGCATTCAGGTGGGTAATGGGTGCCCAAATGCCAGTCTACAGAGAGGAGGCTATTTATTGGCATTACTGTTATTAGTTCTACAAACTCCCCACTTACAAAACTTCCCTGTACGCATTGTCCTTATCAGAATGAACTGTATGAAATACGGAGAATACTCAACTAATATTAACTTTCCATTCATCCCAATGTACAGCGCTACAGAATGTGATGGCGCTATATAAATAATAAAATAATAATAATAATAAACTATGCAATTTCCTGCTGCTCTGAAGAATGTTTTCATTACAATGTAATAGAAGTAAAAACTTAGTAGACACTTCGGACCCTGGTGCTTTTGGGATGAACAGGTAACCCCCTTTGTCCTAATTCATAAAATTACTGAATTTAACAGAAATCTGCACTTTTATGAATGGGGTTTTGAACGCCTGCAGATGTCAAGCCAACAGCCAGGAGGGCATCCTGGTTCACTCAACATTAATGATCCTTAGAGAGATAGTAAGAGCCTTTATAGGGACGCATCAGTCCAACGCTCCCTTCTGAGACACACATTATTGGGCAATCATTGCATTAAAATGGCACATTTAAAGCAACTGGCATTTTCACCAAGAGAGGAAGGGAGACTATCATCACAGAGTCTCATTGGGGGACAGAGCAGACAATACGCACATGCACATCGAGCACCACAAGCTGCACTCGATGACGTTCAATATCCTCAAGCAATGCATGAAAATGTCACACATCACATGACCGAGTATAACTCCCTCATAGTAGCTGAAGCACCCTCTAGTGGTTGTCAGGGACCCTGCAATGTAAGGGTTAAACGTCTGGGCGCCTTTAGTAGTCCTTTAATTCAAAAGAGAAAAGAGCTTCATATGAAAGAAATAAAAAAATATTAACACAAGTTATAGATGATTTTCAATGTTTGATAACGCCCCTTTGACGGTGCTCTGCTGGCTAGAGACATTTATTTCAATTAAATATTACACGAGCAGACAATGTACTTGGTGTTGGACTACACTTCAAACAATGCTCTGCCAGATGCTGGCTTGCAGCGGATTATAGGAATAGTAGTTCAATAAAAACTCCCATATGGTGCAAGTTCTGGCGAATATTGATTTATTTATGTATAAATATAATAACATATTGCAACCTATAAATGACACCCTGTGTTCACAAGGCTTAGAGCGTGGATGGGGTTCAGTACTAAAGCCAAGGTTTAATTTTACAAAGAGCTCATTTCACATTCCATCTTCCTTGCGCCATATATCAGAATGCGTTAATACTTGCATTCCGAGAACATATTGGGAATAAGATGAGAGCTTTTCAAACTATTAAATTAATTGTAGGTTTTATGTTTGAAAAGGTAACACAATCCTAACTCAATCAAGCAATTAGTGAACAGTTTGTCTTCTAAGGCAGACAGGACATCCCATGGAATTGCAGTAGGTTGGATTTTACGTACAAAGTCCTAGTGGCGCTATACATGAGTCAGAGAATAACTATCAGTAGAATGACAGATTACAGCAGAGTCTCTGTCTAATGAAATCTTCTAACAGATCAGATGTTACCAATATAATATCATACAGGGATATCCAGGAAAAAAAATACACAACAAGAGAGCCATGACGTAAAGTAAATGACATGACATTACCAGCCATGAGCCCAATCCTTTGTGTAATCCCTTGTACTCAAAGGGTTAAAGATACTACATGGTGCACCCTCCTTTAGAACAGTGAACAGTGTAAAAATAAGATAACTACAAATCTGGATTCCAGTGATAGATTTCACAGGTGTTCACAGGACTGTAGTGTAGTACTGGTGCAGTGTGTGAATCAAGAAATAGCTCCGCTCAAAAGAAGAAACAGAAAGTCCCATCACCCGCTGCCCTATTGTGCCAGACCATCCGCTACCACCCAGTGTGTTCTAATCCAAATCTACCGATCTCTAACTCCATCCACCTACATCTCCCACCCACCTACATCTCTCATATACCCGCGTCTCTCACCCACCTACATCTCTCATATACCCGCGTCTCTCACCCACCTACATCTCTCATATACCCGCGTCTCCCACCCACCTACATCTCTCACCTACCCACATCTCATACTCACCTACATCTCTCACCTACCCACATCTCATACTCATCTACCCGCATCTCTCACCCACCTACATCTCTCATATACCCGCATCTCTCACCCACCTACATCTATCATATACCCGCGTCTCTCACCCACCTACATATCTCACCTACCCACCTACATCTATCATATACTCACGTCTCTCACCTACCCACATCTCCCACCCACCTACATCTCTCATATGCCCGCATCTCTCACCCACCTACATCTCTCATATACCAGCATCTCTCACCCACCTACATCTCTTTTACCCGCGTCTCTCACCCACCTACATCTCTCATATACCCGCGTCTCTCACCCACCTACATCTCTCATATACCCGCATCTCTCACCCACCTACATCTCTCAAATTCCCACGTCTCTTACCCACCTACATCTCTCATATACCCGCACCTCTCACCCACCTACATCTCTAATCTACCTGCATCTCTTACCCACCTACATCTCTTATACCTGCGTCTCTCACTGACCTACATCTCTTATATCCACATCTCTCAAATTCCCAAGTCTCTTACCCACCTACATCTCTCATATACCTGCATCTCTCACCCACATCTCTAATCTACCTGCATCTCTCACCCACCTACATCTCTAATCTACCCGTATCTCATACTCATCTACCTGCATCTCTCACTTAACTACATCTCATACTTACCTGCCCACATCTCCCACTCACCTACATCTCATACTCACCTACCCGCATCTCTCACTTAACTAAATCTCTAATCTACCCGCATCTCTCACCCACCTACATCTCTTATACCCGCATCTCTCACCCACTTACATCTCTTATATCCGCATCTCTCACCCACCTACATCTCTCATCTCACCAAAATCTCTAATCTAGCCGCATCTCTCACCCACCTACATCTTTCAAATTCCCATGTCTCTTACCCACCTACATCTCATATACCCGCATCTCTCACCCACCTACATCTCTAATCTACCTGCATCTCTCACCCACCTACATCTCTAATCTACCTGCATCTCATACTCACCTACCCGCATCTCTCACTTAACAACATCTCATACTCACCTGCCCACATCTCCCACCCACCTACATCTCATACTCACCTACCCGCATCTCATACTCACCTACCCGCTTCTCTCACCCAGGTACATCTCTCAAATTCCCGCGTCTCTTACTCACTTACATCTCTCACCTACCTGAATCTCTAATCTACCCGCATCTCATACTCACCTACCCGCATCTCTCACCCACCTACATCTCTCAAATTCCCGCATCTCTTACCCACCTACATCTCTCATATACCCGCATCTCTCACCCACCTAAATCTCTAATCTACCCACATCTCACCCACCTACATCTCTTACCCACCTACATCTCTCACCTACCTGCATCTCATACTCACCTACATCTCTAATCTACCCGCATCTCATACTCACCTACCTGCATCTCTCACCCACCTACATCTCTCAAATTCCCGCGTCTCTTACCCACCTACATCTCTCATATACCCGCATCTCTCACCCACCTAAATCTCTAATCTACCCACATCTCTCTCATCTACATGTCTAATCTACCCGCATCTCTCACCCACCTACATCTTTAATCTACCTGCATCTCTTACCCACCTACATCTCTCACCTACCTGCATCTCATACTCACCTACATCTCTAATCTACCCGCATCTCATACTCACCTACCTGCATCTCTCACCCACCTACATCTCTCAAATTCCCGCGTCTCTTACCCACCTACATCTCTCATATACCCGCATCTCTCACCCACCTAAATCTCTAATTTACCCACATCTCTCTCATCTACATGTCTAATCTACCCGCATCTCTCACCCACCTACATCTTTAATCTACCTGCATCTCTTACCCACCTACATCTCTCACCTACCTGCATCTCATACTCACCTACATCTCTAATCTACCCGCATCTCATACTCACCTAACTGCATCTCTCAAATTCCTGCGTCTCTTACCCACCTACATCTCTCATATACCCGCATCTCTCACCCACCTACATCTCTAATCTACCCGCATTTCTCATCCACCTACATCTCTAATCTACCCACATCTCTCACCCACCTACATCTCCAATCTACCCGCATTTCTCATCCACCTACATCTTTAATCTATCCGCGTCTTTTACCCACCAACATCTCTCACCTACCTGCATCTTGTACTCACCTACCCACATCTCTCACCCACCTACATCTCTAATCTACCCACATCTCACCCACCTACATCTCTCAAATACCCACGTCTCTCACCCACATACATCTCTCAAATACCCGCGTCTCTTACCACCTACATCTCTCACCTAGCCGCATCTCATACTCACCTACCCACATTTATCTTCCCTACCTGCTTCTCTTACCCACATATATATTACCTACCCGCATCTCTTTTCCACCAACATCTTTCACCTACTTGCATCTCTCACCTACCTACATTTCTTACCTACCTACATCTCTCATCTACCTTCATCGCTTACTCACCTACATCTCTCAGCTGCTGCTATTAGCAAATGAACAATGTCCAAATAAATAAGAATAAAAATCAATGTTTCTAAAGTAGAACAGGAATGTCTGCTTTAGTGATATCCAGAAGATCTGATGGACTTTAGGCACCCAAGGAGCCCTGCCCAATATAAACGTTCATGCTGATTCCATAACATCACACTGCTTCTCCCTCACACTTCCCGTAATGTAGAAATGAGTGCAGCCATTGGTGCTAAGTGAACTTCCAGTCTTGCTCCTTGAACCCGTTCGGTGTGAGTCAGGTCAGAGGGCACATTATCCTGCTGGAAGAAGAGATTTCAAAATGGCTAAACAAAACGTAGCTATAAAGGGATAAACAAGGACTGGAACAATGTTTAACACTTGGTGACAAGACTTCCACCACTATCACTACAACCACAACTCTATAGTGTGGACACCTGACTGATATTGGTGTTTCCCCGCTGTTTGGGCTCTCCTAGTTGGAGAAAAGAGTGGAGTAATGTGTACGGTGTGTTAGTTCATAATGTATGTGCAATCTGGATGATCTTGGAAGTCAAAGGAAAAAGTTACATTTCAGATTTGACACTGGCGAGACAGGCAGTTTTACAAGAGTGTTATGCAGCTAAGAGCATCGGCGTTTACGGTGGTTTGGAGTGACCCTTTACACCTTTGGAGCATGTCTACATCCTTTACATACTGAAATGGAACGATATTTGGACACCATTTGGTCACTTTAGGTATACATTCCAATTGACCTAAACAGCCAACGAGTCTACACTTACTATAAACACACAAAGACACAAAAAGATATCAACAGAATGATTTTTTACTAAATTAAAATATAAAATAAATACACGTATATTAACTAAACTCTGGGCAGCCGAGGAAACCTGCAGACATTGCACAATACAGAGAGTATGAAAATAATGGAAGTTCCTGAACACACAATATAAACACAAAGGCTGCATTGTAGGGATGTACAGGAAAGGTACCAGCATTAAGAAGGGGTCAGACTGCGCCACGTGATTTTCTCCAGCTGCTTTTAATTATACACACTGGTCCTGTTTCCTCCCAAAGTAGAGTAAAATGACAGATTCGCTTAATACATGTGCTGGGAGAATATGCAGAAGTTAACTTAGAAAAAAATACGATCATCTATTTGGACAGGGCTGCTGGTGTAACCCATAACTCATCTGAATAGTGAATTAAAAGGGATCTTATCGGCATCAAAACAACTTTAGCTTAAATGGACACTCCAAATGCCTAAAGCACTTCAACTTGCTGAAAAGCTTTATATATGAAAAACGTGTGTGCCTTTTTTTCATATCGGAAAAAGTGCAGATTTCAATAGAAAATTAAAATTTTATAAAATTATACTGGTTACACCACCTGGATTTTCAAGCAGACAACTGGTCCTGGTTTGGTTAGCTTAGTTGCAATGAACTTAAGAGGCAGCAATTGCTCAGAGCACCTGCCTTGCAAAGACTTATCATTGATCTGCATTGGGAAGTCTGTGATTGGACAGTTACAGAAAGTCTGGGCAGGGCTAGAAGGGGAGGGCTTGTAAAGGCAGCAGTTTTTGCAACGTGTTTTAAGAAAGGAGTCCAATGAAAACAAATGCAGAATTAAATTTGGGGGTATATCTACTAAACACTAAGTTTTAGAGAAACTGCAATAATTATATTGCAGGACTAAGACTGCCTCTAGTGGCTGTCAGACAACCACTAGAGGCGCTTCCTGCTTGCTAGGCGACATTTGGTCGCCTGACACTAGTCATCCTCAAGCTCTGCATGAGGACATCCAGTGCTCATTAAATTCCCATATGAAAGCATTGAAGCAATGCTTTTCTATGGGGAAGACCTAATGAGCTTGCCCTGTTGGATGGCGTCTGAGTGCCAACTCAGCATAAAAGGGAGATCGGCGCAGGAATCAGGTTAGTACAGAAAGGGTTTATTAAACTTGGTACTCCTTACACTACAGAATCCCTTTACCAATGCAGGATATAAGAAATTCTAATTAAAAGAGACTGTGCAATAAAGGAAGTGTAAACATTAGATTACTCTTTACAGGAAGTGTTTAGGAAGGCTTTACACTTACATGCAGGTGTGGCTAGAGCTGCATAAACAAAGTGATTTAATTCCTAAATGGCAGAGAATTGAGCAGTGAGGTTGCATGAGCAATGCTCTATACACCAAAACTGCCTCATTAAGGTAAAGTTGTTTTGGTGATTATAGTGTCCCTTTAATTCCCTAACATAGTGAGAGAAAAAATAAAGCAAATACTTAAATAAAGTTCCAAGTAGACAGTGTAACACAGACATAAAATAATGTAATGTAGACAAAGTTATGGGCAATTTAGGTTCCAGGTAAAGCATGGTATAGCAAGCTGCAAACAGCATTAACAGCACAGTTGTTTCTAAGGTGATTGTTAGCACCATAACCACTACGTCTTATGATGACTGTTGGGTACGTCCTATTATTGCTGTCCACGGTTGGCTGACTTTGCATGGGTAATGGAGAAGTTAAACGTATGCAGAGCCAGCTTTGGGTTTAAAAGCAGTTATAGTAAAAATAACAAAAAACACAAAAACATGAAACAGAACAAACCAAAAACAGAAGGGAAGAAAGACACTAAGCTGTAATGATACAATAAAAGGTGGTATTTACATTATTTATTGCAGAGTGTTCAAAGTCGCCTCTGAAATACACTACTTTTTCTATGATATCTTACAGCCAACGTATTTACCATTTGTTTCTTTTTGGGACAGGATGATCACACAGAATACAAATATATGTGGGAAGCCAATCACAGATCTGGATCTAATGAAGTGCCCTCCTAATGCCAGCTCTCAGGAGGAAGGGTGACATTCCATTAGATAAGGGTGCAGCGGCATAGACATGGATTAGGAGAGGCACTATGTGACTATGTATTTTTTAAAATAAATTATTTGTTTTGTGTTTTTTTGTTTCTACCAACAAAAACAGTTTAGCACGTGACTGCAACAGTTGATGGTTCCAAACTCCCACTGTCTAAATCAGGGCACGTAACAGGCCTTAACTACAAACTATGCCACAAATCAGTGTAACGGCCCCAATGCACAGTGTGGAAATTGTTAGGTGTTTAAATCTGCTGTCCAGGCAATAAAAAATAAATTAAAAAAATCCCATTGTTAATACACATCACAATGGTATCATCCGAGGCTCACGCTGATTTCTCTTAACAAGTACCAAAATCAACACTGAGACCAGAAACACACCTAACAATAGAATCCACGGCGTCCGTCTCACTCAATTCATTTCAGAAGGAATTCTCCAATTCAACATATAATAGGGGGTTTCCTTTACGAGTGGATGTTATTTTAGGATTATTTCATTATTAGAAAAGATTAAGGTCAGAAACCACTTGTTCCGAAACAGATTTGTCATCACACTTAGCTAGCAGGAGACGTGGCGAATACATGCCTGTACTCTGTCCGGTAATGGCTTTAGGGAGACATAGGGTTTCCAGTACATGTCTTCAGCTGTGACCGCAGCACCCATCACTCTCAGACAAGACATCTCTACAAACTCTGATTCATTGTAATGTTGTCATATTGAATAAAAAAACTAAAGGGAAAAAAAAATAGTATCTATTAAATCCCTTAAACTTACTTTAGTTTAAGAGCTGGGATCTTCACGGCAACCTGAAGATCTCTGTTCTCACTAGAAAGTAATGAGGATAAGCACAGCAATCGCCTCAATCATAAAGCACTCTGGCACAGTGACTGTAGTTTGTAGATTGTCATCGAGACTGTAGTCCAAAGACTGAAATTTATACATACACTGAACAAAATTATAAACGCAACAGTTTTGTTTTTGCCCTCATTTCTTCATGAGCTGAACTCAAAGATCTAAGACTTTTTCTATGTACACAAAAGGCCTATTTCTCTCAAATATTGTTCACAAATCTGTCTAAATCTGTGTTAGTGAGCACTTCTCCTTTGCCGAGATAATCCATCCACCTCACAGGTGTGGCATATCAAGATTAGTGATGTCGCAAACCGTTCGCGAACTTGCCGCGAACAGTTCGCCACGAACTCCGGTCAGCTGACACATCCCTGCCAATCTCTGGCAGACCCTCCCTCCCAGACCCTTCCACCTCCTGGACAGCATCCATGTTGAAGCTGCCTTCAACATGGATGCTGTCCAGGAAGTAGGAGGGTCTGGGAGGGAGGGTCTGCCGGAGATTGTCAGGGATGTGTCAGCTGACCGGAGTTCGCCACGAACTGTTCGTGGCGAACCGTTCGGGGACGGTTCGCGACATCACTAATCAAGATGCTATGGGGATCCAGTTTCACCATAAATATAGTAAAAATCTTACTGTATTCAAGCCAGAAGCTGTAAATCTGCATGCTGTTAGACTCAGGAAAAACAAGCAGTCTGCTTACATGTAATAGCCTGATCCAATCACAGTGCTTCCCCATAGGATTGGCTGAGACTGACAAGGAGGCAGATCAGGGGCAGAGCCAGCATGATTCAAACACAGCCCTGGCCAATCAGCATCTCCTCATAGAGATGAATTGAATCAATGAATCTCTATGAGGAAAGTTCAGTGTCTGCATACAGAGGGAGGAGATACTGAATCACAGGATGCTCGTGCACAGCAGATCTGAGTGGATGGAGGCATATTATGAAGTCCCTCTGGTTCACTCTGAGTGACTGCAACTGGAGGTGTTCCCAGCTTTAAATGTAAACACTGTATTTACATGAGAAAGGCTGCAGGGAGCTATAGTTCTCACCTGAACAACCTCATTAAGCTGAAGTTGTTCAGGTGACTATAGTGTGCCTTTAATAATTTGTAGTAAGAGCATTGTGAATATATATAATACAAAATTAACGTGATAAAAGCAATTCAAAAAATTGCAATGTTAAAACTAAACAATTAAAGTGATGGAACTTTTATGTACATACTCACAATGCAAATTATATATCTGCTCAATGAAAATTATAATACAAGTGACATTACTATCCAAAACCTCCTCATATAAAAACCTTCCTGTAGTCACATCCAAACTGGGGGGAGGGGGGGAGGGAGAATCTGGTCTGGATTCTAAACATACATAGTAAAAACTAAACCGAATGCCATCTGAAGAAATGGCTGCAAAATGAATGATTGATTAAAGCAAAATAGCATTTAATGAATGAAACCACTTGGGTTGCAGAACTACACACCCCACAAGCCTAACCTGGTTATAAGGTGTGCTTCTCCCTATAAACAATGAGATAACAAGGATAGGCTGAAGGGGCAGATTTCTGCTTGTAAGATAGCACACAAAACGTTTTCTGTAACGCTCAGACACATCTGGAGGCTTTTGGGTTTTTTATTATTAAATCTTGAGCATTTTAATAAAAATCTAAGATTGCTCTGTTCTTAATATGCAAACTCCCGCCGGACACCTGGCTATTTGTTAAGAGTAATTCCATTCTAAACAATGATAGATTGAGAGCTACAAAGCAAACAATTGCAGAATAAATCCCACGCCCCCTCTCTATCCCACTGGGGAATAAATGTTGCAGAGACATTACATCAGGAGAATAGGAAGAAGCATATATATCAAAAATTGTTAATTGCAACAATCTGTACTGTTCATTCTAACACCACCTCTCTGGAGCTATAGCACTAAATTGAAGTCATATTAACTGTGTTTAACAAGGGTTATACATGTGGTGTTTAAAGGGATAGTAACGCCAAATTATGTTAAATAGACAGATATAAGAATCAAAGCAAAAATTCCTTCCTATCAGCCGGCATCATGGACTGTCACGCATATTCAATTTGACATTGAGTTAAAATGCATGACAGCAGGGGTGGCATCTAGGCACCAAATGCACACCATTACAATAAAGTGATTTTGGTGCTAGAGTGTCCTTTTAACCCCTTAAGGACATATGATGACATGTGTGACATGTCATGATTCCCTTTTATTCCAGAGGTTTGGTCCTTAAGGGGTTAAAGAGACACTAGAGACGCCCAGATCACTTCATCTCATTGAAGTGGTTTGGGTGTACGGTACCAGTTCCCTTAACCCTGCAATTCAAAACACTGCAGTTCCAGAGAAGCAGCGTTTATATTAACGGGTTAAGATTGCCCCTAGAGGTGCTTCCTGGAGTTTCACGTTGTTTAAAGGACCACTATAGTGCCAGGAAAACATACCCCACCCTCAGGGACCCCCTCCCGCCCTGCTATGGAAAGGGGAAAGGGGTAAAACTTACCTTTTTCCAGCGCTGGGCGGAGAGCTCTCCTCCTCCGATCCTCCTCTGTTCCTCCTCCTGGGCTGAATGCGCATGCGCGGCAAGAGCTGCGCGCGCATTCAGCCCGTCGCATAGGAAAGCATTTACTGAAACTGCTATGTTTATAAAAAAATGGGTTAACCCTAGAAGGACCTGGCACCCAGACCACTTCATTAAGCTGAAGTGGTCTGGGTGCCTAGAGTGGTCCTTTAAATCTGTGAGATGACCCTGGATGTCCTCACGATGCGCATGAATACATCCAGCATCTTGCAAAACCCTATAAGAAAGCACTGAAGCCGCGTATATGCGTTAGGTTCCCTCCAATTGCCAATGTCAGAGGAGGCGGAGTCAGAGCCTTAGGACAGTCACTTGAAGGCAGAGAGATACTAAAGCGTTAAGAATACACTTTTGTATTCCTAACACTATAGTGTTCCTTTAAGGGTAGCTGCGTCTGACGATGGTGTGGTGTTGTTAGCAGAGTTTATGCTACGTAAACCGTACTCTGCACATGTAGGTACACTATACACCGTTTAAATGATCATAGATGATTGCATGCAAATTTACACCCTAATATGCATTTAAATTGTGAATATCTACTATCTACACATTACACTAGTAATACATTTGAGGAAATAAATGATAGTTCTTGTTACTTTTATTTCATACACCAGTTTTTTTATTTTTGTAATGAACTTACCATTCTTTGTGTATTTCCTAAATGCCTCCTAAAAATACACTATAGAGTTAGGAATACACACCTATATTCCTATTGCTATAATGTCTCAAGCTACACACCCGGTGCTGCTCAACTCTCCACCTCCCAGGATTTTACGGAGGATCCATGGCCTACTCTGCAATGGTCCCACACAATACTGCTCGTAGGGAAGCACTGGGGATCTAATGCGCATGGACAGTGCGCACTTTTAAGTTTTCACATAGGAAAGCATTGAATTCAGTGGTTTTCAGTGTCACATGACAGAGTTTTGCATGGTCAGTATGAGGTGGATTTCACCCTGTAATGTTAACATTTAATTTCTAAAAAAACAAAAACAAAAAAACGCAAATTTTACATTGTTGGGGTGGGGGGGGGCCGGGCCGCCAAGCTGCACGGCAGCAAAGCAACGTGGCTCCGGGGCCAAGCTCCGAAAAACGGCATAAAACTCAGTTATAATCCGCCCCAAAGCAGGATTGCTCACCGTGGTGCTATGGGATTCACCCTAGCTTCCATCCGATACCAGACTACGGACGAAAATATACCAGGAGCACCGGGGCTGACGAACACGGCCTACGTGTCATCTCAAGTCTGAACATGGGCAGCTGCTGACTGTGAACTGACACCTGATCGCCTGACAGGATGAGCAAGCATGCCGGTTCCATGAACTTTGATGGGGACCCACACGGGCGAGATACACGGCTCCCGGTGGGGGTAATCGCGGCCACATGGAGGCTGCACGCCCTGGTCGGAAACCGCCGCCTGGGGAACACGCTGATCTCCTATACAGGCAAAAGGCTGCCTAAACGTGGCCCGCCTGATAACTGCACCAGGAAAGAAGGGACACATACTACTCACGCTACAAGACCGGTACCTACTTTGAGCCCGTCTGCTTGTTCCTGATCGGACTGCCTGCTTTACTTTAAATAGCCACCCCGTTGACATGACAACCGCAGGTGGAGGGGAGCTCTGGAGGCAATACACGTGGGCGGTGGGGCCAGCCGGAATGTTGCTGCGGTGAGAGTTGTAGACCCCAGTATATAGGAGGAGTATTTATACCTTTATAATTTAGTGTACAAACGAATGTGCTGTTTATGTTATTTTATGTCCTTCATATGATTAGCACCTTTTTCGTCATGGGACGCACGCATTTAATGACATGTTATTCTTATGAAACAACATTGCTAGTATAAATGAATCTGCATTAGGATAAAACACAAGGCGCAGCCGCAGTTAGGAGGAATACATTACCCCGCTGTAGTCGAACGTTGATATGTTTTACCTGTTCATGATTTAAAGATATGCACTTGTAACTTGAACCAAGCAATCATTTACATACATGCCACATATTGCCTTTAATAATATTGTAATAATAATAAACGGTATAAGGTTTAACGTTCCTGTAGACCCGCTGTGACTATTACCTGAGCTATATAACTGTAAAAGTGCTATGTTGTATTACCTGCATTGAAAGTACCCTTACGACGTTAGATATGGTTTTAGTGTACCGCTCCACTTACAGCCTTGTTTGAAACATATCGGTCAGGCTCTGGCATTATACTGTGCACTAAGCTGTGCTTATTTATTAAGCCATTGCTCAACTATGTACTTAAGTGTATGTATGTTAACTGTATTGGACTCCGTTCCACTTAAATCATTTGAAGCTTCTGTTTCTGCACAGGCAATTATACACCCTAAGGGGTAAGTTATTGAATGTTCACATTTGTTTGGTAAGGTAAAATGATTTAATGTGACTAAAAACTGTCTCTTTAAGCAATATGTAACATAGATAGAGGCCTGAATCAGAAAGCATATGAAGTGCAAATGACTGCTCTTATAATGTAAAGCCATGTTGGGCCTCTGCGTAGGCCCATGTACATTGCTTATTCTTTTTCATAATTCGCCTCTGCGCAGGCAACACTACGTTTGACCTTGCCCTTGAGATGTTTCTGCCATCATTTTCGGAACATAAAAAAAAAGCCATTTTAAAACAATTTTTACATTGTGGACCACTGCACCTAGATCCCTTCATTGAGATGAAGTGGTGTGGGTGACTAGTGTCCCTTTAATAATACGTGTATTATATATGTCTTTCTATTTTCCATAGATAACGGTGGCACTATGTATAGACAGGATTCTCACATATACACATTATACATCGTGTTGCTGTTCACATTGTCTCTCATGGAAACGGTAATAAACGCCATAATGGTTGCAGTCGGATGAGCCAGCATTGTAATGGCAAAGGGTTGATGTAAGTGTTTACTGTAGGAAGTTCACATTGGGATGAATAATTGCACTAAAAACCAGATAGCATCCCTCCTGCACAGCCTCCCACTCCTGTTTCTCAGGACCAAGGAATGGAAGCACTAAGAACGAACAGTGCTCAATAGAACAGATGTTTTGGACTCAGCTTAGTTTAAAGTCTCCTCCCTCATTAGATCTATCTAAAACCTGTGTGGAATATAAAAGAGAAACAGTCACTTCTCTGAAAGTGCAGACATCTCATTCCAGTAATATCCATATAATATAGAACGATTTAATGGGGTGGGAGTACTGGGAGGTACAGCACTTCTGTATCCAGGGCAATGTCATCGCCACATAATGCTCTGATTGCGTTCGGGAATCAGATGAATACACAGAAGTGCATGCATGCAACAGCAGTCCCACCATAGTGCCAGACGCGCATGCACCCTCACTGCACTAGGGGCGCTAAATGAATGTCCATGGTATGCTCTGGGTGTCAGTTTAGGATGTAAATAAAATGATAAATACCATTAAAAAGCCCAGCATGTAATTAATGTTTTGCTTTAGATATTAATTAGAGCAGCAATCTGAAAAGTGACAGCTCCCTTTGACGCTGTAAACGTGTCCCTCCTTGGGTATGGGATTATTCAATTCTAGGGCACAGTTCAGCAGCCCCTCTCTGGGGCACAATAGGCGTCAGAGCTGGCGAATCTGATTGGCGCAGGTTAAACAACAGATTCCTGCTCACTTGCTTGGCTCCCTTCATAATTGCCTCCTTAATTACTAGTCTAATTTAGCAATAAGGAGAGCAAATAATGGATTATAAAAGAATTATAGGGAAGCACAATGAAACGGGAGGACAGATTTGCAGAGAATAATAACATTTAACTTTTTAGCAGTAAAATCGATTCCAGACAACAAGTCTACTATGAATACTAAATGAATGGCTAAATATCTTAAAAAGGCCAACTCAAATGTAAAATGAAAACAAACATGCGACAAAATTCAGTTAATTATGTACTTAAACACCCCAAAAAGCATTGATGTCTGTTCTTAAGGATTTATGGGGTACCCCATTTATTTTGGCTGAATGGCACTGGTTTGGAGTCAATCTATGTCAGTATGTCAGAGAATCCCCTGTACATTAATTACATGAATAGCTCAGACCCGCAGTATATGTATCTGAAAGATTCACAGCCCTGACCCCGACCAGTGTATCTTGTTTTATTTAAACCAACGTCCAGTATTTACTCTTCCTAGTTCAGTCCCAAAACAGCAACAATTGTTCTTAATCCCATGCCTTTCAATAGGCAGTACCCCCATTTCATATCAGTTTGCTGACAGGTAAGAACATTTATAAAAGGCACCCCCTGGCCCTGGGTGCTATGTATAGGGCTGGTTATAGTCTGTTATGTTGGGTGTATAATTAATATATATATATTGATAATAGCTAGTTTTGGGAGTCCACTCTTTCTGTACTGCACTGTGAGTAGAACCAATGTTCAGCATCCCCACACTCTGCATGGAGGAGTTGTATGCTCCCCATAGAGATGTATTGATTCAGTGCATCTCTTTGAGGAGATGCTGATTGGCCAGCACAGCGTTTTGCTACGCATGCGCGACAGCCTGCCAATGCCTTCAAGACTTCTGATCTCAGCCTAGTATTAGTTGGGCTGTTTAGATTTCAGGCCCTTGTTTTTGGTTATCCCTTACCTGCAATCCAGCACCAGGGCAGCCTCTTCTAAGCAGCCAGGTCCGCACTAGGCTTGATGACCATGTTGTCCATAGGGAAGCATTGTAGTCTTAATGCGCATGTGCTGCAGTCACCGCATTGCGCCAAACGCATTAAATCATTTGATTTTCAGTGTGGCAGCTCCATCTAGTGGTGATCAGAACCCCACAATGAAAACATTGCCACATCTCCCAAATGGCAGCGTTAATACAGCACAGGGTAAAAAAACAGCAGGGCCACTGCACCCAGACTACTTCAATGAGATGATTATTATGGTATCTTAATACATTATTCATTGAATTCTCTATATAACGCATTCACATAACAACTGATTGTCCCATTAAATAAGAGAACACAAACACTGCTTGTACAATTATTAAAATACTAAATTTGTGAATAAAAAAGTAAAACATAAATCATTAGTAATGCTTCAATTCATTTTGAACCGTAGAAGCTATGATTTCAGCAAATACATTTGGAATTCAAACAATAAACAACTGATTTATGGCCACGGAATAATGGACTTTCTGACATTTTGTCAGAAACCTACAGAAACCAAAATATTTTGAAAGACTGATGCTTTCCACAACAAACTGATTTGAAATCGTGTTTATTATGCAATACAGGATTGTAGATTTGGGAACAATGAAACACCTCCCACCAGACAGACATGAATCGTTTGATGTCACGAGACAAAGCCTTTTGGGGAATAATTTGACTTCTGCCCAGACAGTAAGAATAGAAAGATACATTGTTTGAAGAGACAAAAACTAAAACAAAAGGCTGGCAGACGCTTTTCCTTGCGTTCTGTCTTGCAAAGAGATCAAGTTCAAGTAAAACAAAACATCGTCAATAGGAGGTCGCTTTAAATTTACTTCCCAAGGCATTACTTAAAGAAGAGGAACAATGCCAGGGATGAGGAATGTTTCAGATTTCAAAAGTATCTGAACATTTCTGTCCTATTACATTACAAGTGATGATGTCATAGAATGGTCACAGACAGTTGGTTTTAATAATGGTCACATGAGACACAGTAACGAAAAGGTAAAAGCTCTGATTTAACAGGTAGTGTGCTTTGATCACCAAGTTCCATCATCTAATTATGGCAATGTATGAGGTTTAGTATTTCCCCAATTTTGGTTGATTTTTTTTTCACCATAAGTACATTGTTTCCTGCAATATAAAAAATAGTATTTATCATTTAGTGCTTGGATCAGCAATATCAGACTTTACCTTTTAGATACCATAAGTAGAAACGAGACTAGCATCCAGGGTGCAACCCAAACAGTAAAGTTTATCTTAAAGGGACACTGTAGCCACTCAGACCACTTCAGCTAATTGAAATGGTCTGGGTACAGTGTTCCTTTTACACTTAGTTCCAGAGAAAATGCAATGTTTACATTGCAGCTCTAATTCTGTCCACAGAATTTGGTCCGGTATCCGACGCTGGACATCCTCACGCTCTGCAAGAGGACATCCAGCGACAGATTCCTTCCCATAAAAAAGCATTGATTAAATGATTCAATGCCTTCCTACGGGGAGGTCGTCGCAGGCAGTCGGAGCAGGCAGAGCGCTGACCCAGCACTGAGTGACATCAGCGCTGGGAAAAGGTGAGTAAATATAGGGTTTTTAACCCTTGATTTACTCGGGTGGGGGGTGCGTGGGAGGCTGAGGGAGCTATAGTGTCAGGAATACAGCTTTGTATTCCTGGCACTAATAGCATCCATTTAAGAGGGAGAGTTACTAGATGCACTTCCGCTGCACCGACCGTGTAAAACTTGACGTGACGTCACGTGACGTAGAAAGCCACAGGAAATCACTGAATTCAATGCTTTCTTATGAGGAAACTTGAATGCACACATGGCGCACTCAGCACATGCGCATCAGGTCAACAATTTCTTAATTTTAATGGCAAACAAGAAGGACCATAATACATTTAGGTTTGTATTCCTAACGCTACAGTGTTGATTTAATTAACAATTCTGGGGCACCGTTGAAAAATTGGAATAATGAGTAGAAATATTTCATTGGTTTTAATAACAACCACGTTTAATATAAGTGCTAGCAGTAGCAGAGCTTAAAGCTTTAGTAATATAGAGAGTGCTCTATGCAATGAGACACACAATACGCAGTGGCAGTGTACAGCTGCCAATCACAGCGCTGGTACTCACACATTGAGATCGGACTGGGGTAAGTTGCTGCCCAGGAACTCACAGAACAAGATACACATTACATGCAGGACTGTCACATGACACAAAGTATCAATGGCAAAGTTGGGGCACGCATTTCCAAAACTGGGCATGTGCTTAGCATGACTATCCCAGATCTGTTTTGTAATCTCACACCTGTAAGAATTGTGGAGTGACAGGAAATTAGCGTGGATCCCGACAAGCGAGGCACTCAGGACAACCACGGACAATATGGTGGAATTAACAAAAGCATTTCCGCGTGCAGCTTCGGAATATGAATAAAAATAAATTTTAAGTGTGTGTTATATGTTGTGTTCACAGATCAGCGTATTTTACATAAAAAGAAAAAACGAAAAATGATAATTTTAACTGCTGTGAGGGAATATTAAGACATTTTAATATTACCACCAACTCTTTTATGAATAAATAAAATTGTTCACCAAAGAATTGCTCTAGTAACACTGAGTTTATGGCTTAAGATGTTTTCACGTTTTTCCTCTGTGCTTCTTCAGCACTTTTTATTACATTAAACAGACCCATACGCCCTAGCTCTGCCCGGACACATCACGAAAAGAACAAAAGAAAAAGCTAAAACGCTGAGTGGAAAATTCAAGTCAAAGAACAACATGTGACGGGCTATACTGCGCCAAACAAGAAGCTCTCAAGATTTCACAACTTCATTTAAATCAAAAACCACTTCAACTACTGCACCAACATTTCAATTCTGGGGGATATAAACATGGCTTGAGGCACTGACAGAGCCGTAAACTACAAGTCCCATGAAGCCTGGGGTGTAGCAAAGTTCCAGAGCAAACTGCACTGGAATTAAAGAGGAAAGGATACAAAAAGATGTCTGTTTGCAAATGGTCAAACTTTAAAAAGTTACTGGAAACTGAAAGGGTTAAAGACATTCACTCCCTAAATACAAAGTTTGGCTAAATATCAGATCATGGCTGATACCACTGTTATTGTATCCATCATTTAGTAAAAAAAAAACAACTACATGGATACATTTTCTACATACCAACTATTCAATTAAAAACATACAAATAAATGGGTAAAATGTTAAGATATGACTGTTAGAAGTGTATTAGGGTGATCATGGTGGGGTGTTATTCTATCTGGGAATGTCATAAATTAGGAGTATAACTAGTAAAGTGATTTAGGGGCGCAGGGGTTGGGGGGTAGGGTGTACCAAGAAAGTTGGGAAAGCATTGCAGAATAAATCTGGTTTGTGAATGGCTGATTGCAAGACAGCAAAAATTAAAAATCGTTCTTAACACAATTTAGAGTGGCTGTCTTAGTGTCACAATATTACCCTGTAATCTGAACACCAGGAAATTACCTTAACCCTAGCCAACTCCCAATATCCCCAGCCAAGACAAAGTGGCTGCGTCAACATTTCAACCAAAAACCCTTACTCCGACACTTTCATCTGACCTACACACCTAACATTTTCTACTGATTGAGATGGGATCTCATTCTCCACACAACAAAGTGAGATACTTCAGGAAATGAAATCTGTCAAAATCTCAAAAATGACGACAACTAAGAAAAAACAAAACCATAGTAACAACATATAAACAAACATACAGTATTGTACATATATAAAGAAATACAGCGTAACAGTCCCACACTGTCCGGAAACCCACAAATATATCTCAGTGTGCTGGATGGGGTACACATGGCTATTATGGAGCTTTGTTTACCTTGCCAGGAAAGGTCGCTGAGCATACACACACACACAATACACGCACAGCCCGGTGCTTTGATATGTCACACACGTATCACTGAGAATGTCTGAGCTAACAATTGTTAAATACAATTCCTGTCATCAGTGTACACAGCACTGTGAAAATAATACACTGATTTATTAAATGTGATTAACTGATCCTCTTAATGCCCCAAACATCTCATGTGACAGTGAGCGAGGGGAGCACACGTTCACAGCCATAATTCGACCACAATGCTGGAGACAAGCCAGACTACGGAGTTAATCATAACACACAAGGGATCAGCGCAGCACTTGGCACTGTCAGTGCCAGCCTGTGCCAGATGCCCCCTGCAAACCTGCTGCCCTACTCATACCCCCATTCTCATTGTATTTGCGCTTAGGAAATGTCTAAGTACATATTATTTTGAGAGAAAAAAAGTAACCACAAACGTTACCTAATAAAGCAAATAGAGAATTTGAATTCCCCAAACCTGGAATCAGTGCACCTCTAGCACTACAATGCATAGGATACCTGATTGAGAGTCAGCTGGACACACCGAAGTACCTTGGTGTCTGGGCAGTGCTAGCGCAGTAGTGCCTTCTTGCCATGTGTTTTAGCACAGGTCCCAATGCGACTTCTCCCATAAGAGCTCATGGGAACAAGTTCAAGACTCACTGTAATCAGCATTCACATGCACTGGACCTTCGGCAAGCTCACCAATCTGACACTAGTTTGCATCAAGACAGTCAGGTTGGACACGCACAAAATGCAGAAATAATATTGAAACAGAACTCACTGCATTTATTTTTAAAATCTATTTTCTCGGAGGAGGACACCAACAACAACAAAATAAGAAGGGGTACAGGACAAGGACTCTAAAATCAGGACTGTTCCACTAATTCATGGACACTTTGGAGGTATGTCTCACCTTCCTGATACCTTTGCCTGTAACTGTATATTATCTATACCTGTGCTGGGGTGAAAGACATTGGGCATGCTGCCAGCCATGTTTTGACAAAGGTCCTACCTGGCCAAAATGTCACCTTCTCTTTTGCACCTTAAATAAAGGATCTGTGGGTTTAAAGGTTTGTGCTGGGTATTTTTATTTTTCAATATTACTGTTGGCTGTGGGCTAAGCCTGGGTCTGTGCACCCTATGTTGAGCAGAATCGTGTTATTTCTACTGTTGAGCCATATTTCAGTAGTAAAAGCATTGTGCAGCTCCTTCCCCTATAGCATAAGTTAAAGGAACACTCTGGTCACCATAACATCTTCATCAGAATGAAGTTGTTATGGTGCCAGGAGGTCCGTGGTGCAGACTTACCTTCAGGGATTAAACCAATCACAAACATTTTAACCGCAAAGTTTTGAATCCATCGTCGTTTAGCTCTGCCACTGACTGACAGAGCGTCAGCTGATACTTTAAGCCAATCAGTAGCTCCCCATTGAAAAACTTGCGTATTTTTCTCAAGCTCGTTCTATGAATGGGAAACTACTGATTGGCATAGAGGAGGGGTACACAACCTTCAGCACTCCTGATGATGTGGATTACATTTCCCATAGTGCTGGAAAACAATCACAGGTGAAGTAGTGCACATTACAGACTGGAGTGCCGGAGGTTGCCTACCTTAATGAAACATAAATGGCAATTATCCAGTTCTAATTTATTGGAACGATAATAAATGTAATAAAATATATCTATTGTTTGTGAGTGTATTGGAGAAATACACTCAATTAGCGATTACAGAGTATTTTGTCTCTCGCAATACTTTATAGATGATGGGACACTTGGCCTACAAAGGAAAAGATCAATTTTAAATACATAATAAGCAGGAGACTAAAGTATAATTAGAATTGTCAAATATTCTGCACATGGGTTACTTGAATTTAAGAATTGCAGGTATCTAATACATACCAGAAAGCGGTCTGTGTGTGTGAGCAATGTCAACATACAATAAATACACATATAGCGCAGCTAAAACCAGGAATCGATAACAAAAATAATATTGTACATCGCTATTGCACCTTTTATAACGTGTCAAGCAATCAGCGCTAGCAGAGGGACAGGCATACGGCTTCTTCTTGGGTATTGTATCATTTATAAAGCCAAAAAAATAAAAAACAACCCACAACCACAGTTAATCAAACACCGTTTCAAAATACTGAGTGAAACCAATAAATTACTTGTAATATAACTGAACACGAACAGTCTCTTACCCATCACATCACTGAGAAGAATTCTTCAAATGGCTCTTTAAAGATGGCACCAACGCAGCCATTGCTGGGAAAAAATGAAAAGGAAGAATGGGGGTGTTACATGCTGAAACACATTATAATACATATACTCATGGATGGTCTTCATGGGGAACTGGTTACAGTGGTGACTAGAGGGCAAAAAGAGGGAAAAAATTGGCTATTCGTTACTATGAGGTTAATAAGGTTCCAGACAAGCTTTCAAAGGGTTTATTCACTAAATCATAAATTATTAAACATGATTTTATACAGGTCATCACACTTACAGGATTGTTAACTAAAATGAGAATTCACAGTAAACGTTAAGGTGAAATAGCTAAGCTGGAAAAATTCCCTAAATCAGCTATGCAATCAGCTCGGCTACTCTGGCCTTGAATGTGAAATTCACTTTGAATTGTTACGTTAGTAAATAACGCTGTTAGTATTAAAAGATGTAAGGCAAGCCTCGCCTCATTCATATTTAAAAAGATCTGAAAATGATTTGATACCCCGCTTCCATTTACAATAAAATGGAAATTTAAAATGGTTTGTTTATTTATTTATTTTTTAAGTAAACACCCAAACAATTAGCAAATATATAGGAGCCAAAAAATAGATACAAATATAGAGCAGTTTATATATATATATATATATATTATAATTCAAATTGCTCTACATTTGCTTTTTGCTCATATCGCTTTTGCTCATATAAATAAAAAATATATATAGTTATTTAATTCTTAAATAATAATGGCTGATAAATGAGCAGACGTTAAAGTACCTCTAAAAATTTGTGCAATAGCTTTAATGTAGTACATTATTCTAGACCTATGATTGAGGGCTAGAGAGGGCCAACATTGCCCTGGCCCTCGGCCTTTCCTGCTTTTTAAAAGAAATGATGGAATAAAATATTTCCTTCGTTACTGAATTACTGTGTTTCACCAAATATAGAGTACCTCTCCCTATTTCACTTTATTTATCTTTATTTGCCATCAGGTCTTGGACCCCCTGTGACTATCCAGGTCTCACGTTTAAATCAGAAGCTGCCTTGTGATATCTTACCAGGGATTAGAGGTGGAGAGCTGTGTGGAACAAGACAGTGTGTTGGAGAATATGTGGGATTTTATCAGTGTAAAGATCTATAGAAGCCAAAATGTGACTTAAGGACGTGTTGACTATATAAACAGAAAGAGGAATTTTAAATACAAAAGGATTAACGAAAGAAAAGGAAAAAAAGAGTTTTAAGTAGGCTTTAGTGACTTTACTAGTTCAAAACAGGTTCACATTGGGCATGTAGGGGATAAAAGTTTGAACCGATAAGCTGATCAATATATTTCATTCAAAGCTGCCATTTAAGACAGACCTTGCCAGAAACCCAGCTAATCTGACAGTAAGTAGAATCTTGTGATTCAGGCTATTTTCGGAGGCATTATGTATTTGAAAACAGCTAATTTGCCACGTATCATGCTGCAATGGTAGGCTGATTATGTTGGGATTACAGAAAATGTCCTGGCATTAGCAAACATCTCATTAAAGAGGTTCAATTACAATGCTAGGCTGAGCGAATGGAAAAGCCATTTCCTTTTTGACAGCATGTCAGAAGCGCTGCGTAAGGGAACTCCCTTATTTAATCTCTTTCGCGGAAGTGCAAGGTCTCAGTTTGCTTTCAATCTAATAAAAATTAACTCTTCGTTCTTAGAGAGTCAGTCGAGGCAGGTGAAGCGAGTTAAAATCTTAACAGCGTATATTTTAGCAGGGTTTCGCACTGTGCCTCTTTCACAAAGAGAAAAAAATACACACCGTTTTATGCATATATAAACACAAACATTTCTTTTTTTCATTCATTTTAAGGAGAAAAAAACGTTCAGTAAAATTATGAAATTATTTTCAGAATGTAATGTTTTGTATTCTGAATAACTCACCCTGCTATCAGCAGAGAAAATTATCAACAGATGTGATAAAATGCTGGGGTGAAAAATAAATAGAATTAAGTAACAGTCCAATCTGATGGATTGATACCGGATCGACAAAACTGAGGGGAAAATTCCCAAACTAGAAAATGTCTTGAGTTGATCATTTTGCAATAATATTGCAATGTGCCAGTCAGCATTCTGAATACATATCTAGTGCGTCTTCCTTTTGCTTTGTAATGGCAATCAATTTACCGATATTGTCCAAAAAGAGAGCGGATTATTTTAGTCCTTAGAGTGTGCCCATTAAACACTGCAAGCACCATACCATGACAGAGTACTGTAGTGGTTATAGTGGCAGGACTGACAGGGCACCACCTGCAATGTAAGTAGTCAAACCAACTGAAGAGCCTGTCACCCCGCACCAGGCGGTGCAGGGCTTAGCTCATTGGCTGAGAGCAATCAGCTGACCTTGAATTGGTCTTCAGTGGTGCTTGGAGTCTCCAATTCATCTTACTATTCCTGCTTAACATTATTGGCACCACATACTATGAGTGGTCCATAGTCATCATACCCTCTTGCAGTGAAAGGGTTAAATTCTTAACTCACTGTAAAAAGTGTGTCAATCCTTTTTCTTTACTACTGGTAACTGTGGGCTGCAGTTCCTGTTTGCAACACTAGAGGGAAAGGTTTAGTGTTTATATTACAATAAAGAACATGCATAGTGGACATTCACCAGTCTATATACATATAACAATATCATATGAGTGTGCATTAAAAGTATTGTTACTCACGTCCGAGTAACTTACTTTATAAAATGTCCCCTTCTAGAGGATTGAAACAAAGTCAGATTGTTTTAAATAAGTTATAATAATTGAAGAATAATTTCCAGAAAACTCACTGTAACGTAGCTCCCTGTACCCCTGGCTCAGTACCACTTCCAATGACCGCTTCCTAGCTGGAACAGGGGACAAACCGCAGCACCTCTGCCCACAGTCACCATGGCTTGACTGGGGCCCTGGAACTGCCCACTACTGGAGCTGAATGGGGAACTCGCTCTAGCAACCCCCAGGCACTGGACGACACTCAATCCTGGGAGCTTTAGTCCTTACAAGGACTTTCCCTGTTGAATCCTCCACACTGGAACAGTGATTCCTGATTAGCCCTTTCCCCACTCAGTAAATAGACGACACAGAGTTCTGGGAGTACAAGCTGGAATACCTTTAATCTGGCCAGATGGCCTGCTTTTATACAGTTGAGAACACCCATGGCACTCCCACAGAAAACAGGATAATTCCTCCCCTATGCCTGGGAGATAATTGAGTCACGAACTGTACAAAACTCAATTATCTCCAGGCACAAACAACACACATTTCACAAACACCCCAAAAGTACCTTAAAATACAGAAAAAAAACAACTAAAAGTTACATCCCCTGGGTGACCAACATATCCAAAAATAACCCAGATCGGTTCAGGGGTTTGGAAATTTCCTGGAAGTCTTAATTTGACCGACCGCACACGAGGCTCCTGCCCAAAACAGTTTCATAAGATTAGGGCTAGCGGTCGGCCTAGTTTGATAGTTTAAAAACGAACAAACTACCGAACATAGCCAATATTCTTACCCTGGAGCTTGTTTCCCTTCTTCGTGGGAATTGTTCCAATGAACAGTGTCTTCCTAAGTGTTGTAGAAACCGAACGCAGGTGATGCCGGAAGTCCAGTGGTGTTCAGGAGTTTCTGTGTCCGTTTTCAGTTCCATGAACTCGACGACCAAACACCGTTGCCTGTCTTCGTGCGAACAAAATGGCAGTCAACTCGTGGTCGTATATAGGAAATGCGGCTACTCAGACAAACACTTAGAACACTGCGGTGGCAATTGCTACAAAGTAGCAATTAGGCATAACAAGCTCCCGGGTGGTCTCCGGTTCCCGAACCATATAGTCCAAATACACAAGGCTGGCAAGCAGACTCCTCCAGGAGCTCGTGGCAAACTCACGTGAGAAGGGGAGTTTGTCACACTCACTCTTTCTTGAGCCACCAAAGACTCAATGCATTGAGTGAAACTGCCAGCCTCTGTGGGTAGCAAACAAAGGACCCATGTTCAAGTTAGCCAACTGCCAAACAAAATTCTCACTAAAGAAACCATACCTTGTAGTGAGCCAGCTGCCACTGGAAATCTCCACCAAAGAATTCACACAACAAAGTGAGCCAGCTACGAGAGATACCCACCAAAGGATCCACAGTCCGAGGTTAGCCAGCTACCACAAGAGATACCCACCAAAGGATCCACAATTCGAGGTTAGCCAACTAACACAGGAGATTTCCACCAAAGAATCCGCAGTCCAAGGTTAGCCAGCTACTGCAGGAAATTCCCACCAAAGAATCCACAGTCCGAGGTTAGCTAGCTACTGCAGGAGATACCCACCATAGAATCCACAGTCCGAGGTTAGTCAGCTAACACAAGAGATACCACAAAAGAATCCACAGTCCGAGGTTAGCCAGCTACTGCAGGAGATTCCCAACAAAGGATCCACAGTCTGAGGTTAGTCAGCTACCACAAGAAATACCCACCAAAGGATCCACCGTCTGAGGGTAGCCAGTTACTGCAGGAGATTCCCACCAAAGGATCCACAGTCCGAGGTTAGCCAGCCGCAGCAGGAGATTCCCACCAAAGAATCCACAGTCTGAGATTAGAGACACATGCTATAGAAGATACCCACCAAAGAATCCACAGTCTGAGGTTAGCCAGCTACTGCAGGAGATACCCACCAAAGGATCCACCGTCTGAGGTTAGCCAGCCGCTGCAGGAGATTCCCACCAAAGAATCCACAGTCTGAGGTTAGCCAGCTACTGCAGGAGATACCCACCAAAGGATCCACCGTCTGAGGTTAGAGACACATGCTATAGAAGATACCCACCAAAGGAATCATGCATTAAAGAGAGCGAAATACCCATCAAAGAATCCACACATTGACGTTAGCCATTTACCACAAAAGATACCATTTTCCCCAAGTATCAGCAAAACTGGCCTTTAAAGATGTGCTGCCATCCAAAATTTTATAATGTGATTTTAATAAGCAGAGTGCAATGGGTTGGCTTAAATTGGTCCACATATCTGCTATCTTTGTACATGCTGAAAAATAA